GTGTGTATCTACGCTGAGGCTCTAGGATTAAATCAGTTCAAAGTAAGCGCTCTGTGGTGTTCTTCCTCTGTCTGTGTCTTAAAGCGCAATCATGTTTTCTCACAATACCAACTCGCCCAACAATCAGCAAAGGTAGGAGAGTTCTGAGGGAGACCATGCGTATTTTGACCTCTGGTAATTGTGTAAGCACACCGTCCTTGGCATTGGACAGTGATATGAAGCGTTTTTTGTGTCTCTATAAGGTCTTGTTTTGTGGGTTTTCTAAGAATGGTAAGGGCTGTGCTGGAGCTGTAGTTGCCTGTTATTGCATGTGGCTGGTCAGCCCCCAAGCGAGGTCATCAGGGTGGCTGGTTGGTGTGAATCATTTAGATATGTCTGAATCATGAATCATATGGGTTCTGTCTGAGTGTCCAGCTCTCGGTAACCTAGTGAAGAGGTGTTTCTTTTTTGGTGGTGAGGGTTTTGAGGTATATGTAACAACGTTCGTTGTTCAAATAAACTACAAACGGCGTTTGAGACTTATTGTTTTGTCCGTTTTTTTTTATCGTTCCGTGTATCCGTTTTTTATGGAACTTCTACATTTATTGATATGTTTACAGGAGTAAAAATGAAAGGGAAAAAGCACACAGACACCAGTGTATCTATTCATTTTTTATGCGTAATATAGTAGGTAAAACTCATACAAAAAACACCAATACCGCCCCCCCCCCCCCCCCTAAAAACAAAAAAGAAAGATGGCGGCGCGCCGGATTTATTGTGCGGCTGCGGCGGCGGCGTGCTGGCTCTGGGGATTCCGGCGGCGGCGCAGGGCGGCGAGAGCAAAACAGGCGGCGGCGGCGGCACGGCGGCGCACAGGTCTACCCGTAACCCTAGCATGGGCGCAACGAGTCGCAAACAAGAATAGGATTGGATTGGCTGTTTCCAGCGTGTATATGTTGCCAGCACAAGATTGAAAGATAGCGAGATTTGTCGTAGCCATTTTAAAGGGGTACTCCACCGATTTTTTGAGCTACCTCAACTAAAGATATTTTCTGACTCCCCGACCTTTAGCCTTTCCAGTATGCTATTTAGCATCGCGAAATTCATAATAGGTATTGTGAAATCGGCAAATGAAAATAGTGCAAAAACCAATATTCAAATATTCGCACACTTTTCAGTGCCGTGACGTCAGTGGCAGGCAGGCTTGCCAGTCGAGCAAGTAGTCTAAAAATAGAATATGCCAATCATTTGTTCCGTGCTGGAGCGCGGATACGGGAGCGAGCTTCCAAAGCACTTATTTGACATCAAGAAACTGCTTTAAATCCGTTGGGAACAACTTCTGTAGTCCAAAAAGTTAACCCCTGCCTTCCACTGACGTCACTTTGTTGTTGTTGCCAGTAGAGACTTCCAGTTTGAAAAACATGGTGAAGACCAAAACTGTAAATTCAATAACTTTGCGAAAAAACAATATTTTGAAATAATATTTGGGATACTATTTTAGCAATGTTTGTTGGTTAGTTTAGCAAAATTTCAAGCAAATCGGAGACAATGAAAAAACCGGTGGAGTACCCCTTTAAAGAGCCTGTGCTGCGACACCGCCAAGGTAAATTTTAAGGAGTTTCGATTATAACGCGAACCCCCAAATTAGGTAAGGGAAATTTGAAAAAAAAATTTGCGTTACATTCGAGTAAATACGGTACTTAGCTTCAAGTTGGTAATTACAATGAGAATTACTACTACACAAAAAGTAATTATTTACACTTATGCATTGCTTTCAAAAAGTAGTGCAATTACTTCACAATTATGTTCCTTTGATAGTTACCCAGCCTCAATGTGTTAGCATTTTTTTGCGCTAAATTTATTTGCCCACTCCTTGTCTGTCTGTTGAGGATTCACAATATGGCATTTTACACTGGTCACATTTTGCATTGTTTTTTTTATCTACTTCATTAATGGTCTGAGACAAGGGTCATCCAATGTTGACCGGGACATCAGCACATAAGAAATCGCTAAACAAGTGTAGAATGATGAAACTTCGGCGGACACTAATATAACCCTTCTTAAATATCCTGCATCCTGAATAAGGTATCTGAAGCATGCACACCAATTCCAGCTATTATGGCAGCGAGCAATGTGTCTGTAGCCGTGGAGGAACTGTCCATAATCAAATTTCGGTGGAGGAGACAGTTAAACCAACTGAAATATTGAGAAAATTGCAAGCACCGTACGGGGAATAAGCAATTCTCTTGGGCTAGAACATACACTTGGTGTCAACAACTTGGCAAAGACACATTTGCCTAACTGTAGTTGCACAGTACAGGGGCCCTATGCTACACGGCGGGACTGGGACAACGCCGTCTGCTGCGTTTGGTCAGTGGCACGGCGCCGACCAATTGCAGCAGACGGCATTGTCCCAGTCCCTTGGTCCCGCCGTGCAGCGTAAGGCTCCAGTTCTTCCTATGCCAAGGGAATTGGGGAGCTGCCAAAACAATGGCAGTGGTGCTTGGACAGGCACGGGGAATACCTTGAAAATCGACATAGTTTCGCATTTGACGGATGTTCCGCCTCCTTTGTAGGAATTAAAGTACCAGTCAACCTCGAACGACCCTTGCATATGAGCCGAGTTCCGAGCATGATAAGAGTCTGCTTTACTATCTTCCAAACTCACCAAATTTTAGAGTTCTTTTAATGATGGCGGTTCAAAGTAAAAGTGGTTTAGTATTAGCATTAGTGGGCACTAAAACAAACTAATGGAGGTTTACAATCTTAATTATTCTGGAAATGGAAGACATACGTCGTCAAAGGACATCCCATGTACAAATCACAATTGCACCACTGATTCATTCTCTATAATTAAAGGAATTCTTGCTTTATGCAAAGCATTCATCTTCTGTGCCCCTTTGTGGGGGCCAAGGCTTCAAGGGGGGGCACTACCCAGAGAAAAAAAAATTCTGCAAAAAACATTGATTTTGAAAAATTACATATTTACATTCATCTACATCCAAAGAATATTCCCAGAAATGTTCACTAGTTTACACTGCATAGTTAATTTTTAATAAATTATTTTCTGTCCACCGAAGCTAAAGAAAAGGTAGGGTTTGAAGCACTTTGAACACATATTTCTCCATTCCCCTTTTTGGTATAAATTCCATTTTAGTCAATCTATCGTTTGATAATGGCAATACAGGGAAGACTCGTTCTTCACTTTTCCTGAATAAAATTTAATAAGGAATGGGCCTATGGAGTTTGTTTGTCACTTTACAGATGTCTTTTATAAAAAATGTTGACATCTTGTCGGAGACACAGAAGACCAAAAAGTTGACCAAGTTTGCAAAAGAGAAAATTGATAGAGTGACTTTTTACAAAAAAAAACTTTCCATAGGCACACCTCCTAGGCATTCTGCTACATATCTAGTGAATAAAAATCTTGAATATTGTGATAGTTTTCCGACTATAGATTAACTAAACAATGTAGGGGTGTTGCTGATAGAAGCTGCCCTAATTTCCTTCCCACTTAAAGGGGCCCTGCAATCGTATTTAAGCGTCTACCTTTTTTGCGGTTTCCAAGTCTCTTGGGGTTCGGGCAAGCAAGCGGGCACGGAGAGAGTAACTAAATATCGGTGCATCATATTTTAACCGTACGACGCGGAAACCTCCTCCACCGACGGGGGCGACCCGCAATACCGAAAGCGCGCGAAATGTGACGTCTTTGGTCCTGGGCTCACTACTGGTCAGAGCCGCTAAAACCTTCTTTTTAGTCGAAATACAAAACATAAGTGGCACGAACTGTCTAAATTATTTACAAAATTTGTTTTTGTTCAGTATTTTAGATCAGAAAAGAAACAAATGCAGTTTATTAACTACGGAAACAAGAAATGACCTGTCGACATACCCGCCACCAAGCAGTGGAAAAGGCGGCGCATACTAGAAAAGAGTAGTGGGATTAGGCGCCGACACGGAATGATCCCGGATGTATGCGGCGGCGCTGCGGTCGTTTACGGACTGGAGGATCCGACCGGCTCCGAGCGTTCCGAAGGCCTTCAGCGAGTAGCTTTGTCTTGCGTTTTGGCCATTTTGCGGTACGGCAGTGCTAAGTGGCTCCCTTTCTGAACTGATCTTTACCCCGTGTTCGCAGTCGTTTGTGGTCAATGAAGTGTCATGCCGAATTAGTGTTTAATCGCGCAGCAAATGCAATGACAGCCGCTCTGGCTGCCCAGTGTATACAGCCTATTCAGAACACGCTTTGGTGGCGCCCTCACGCGCTGTCGACACACAGTGCAGCAGCCGTGAGCGCTCGTTGAGCTCACTATATCCCTCCTCTAGTTCACGGCCACTCAAGCAACCAAGGACGTCATGAGGGAGGTTATTTTTTGCTTGTTTTTGTAATTTTAATTTGCCTATAACTTTTAAAATAAAGCGAATTTCGAGAAAAGAAAAGTTACATTAAGTTACTACGGTCAGTGCGCTCAGGTTTGGTGCAAATTAAAAACCAGTAAAAAAGTGCTTGCAGGGCCCCTTTAACCAACAGACCTGAAATTTTTTTTTGCACCCTCTAGCATGACCACCAGCCTACCCTGTAAATTTCATTAAGTTTAAGCCAAGGGTTCAAAAGTTGACCCTCCCAGGGGGTGTATCCCCTTAACATTCACTCAGCAGCTGCGAATCCACAGATGGCACTTTTCAAAGCCCCACGAAATGGCACAAGGGCAATGGGACCGATGCTCAGTGTATTTTTGCCTCAGTGCAATTCAGATTTTGCAATTATAAGAAAATAAATTACAGGTACAATTACAGATCACTAAAAAGTAATTTGTTGTAATTCAATTACTGCCCAAGTATGTGATTATTTTTGTGGGCTTATGCTTCGCAATAATCCTGTGCATAATTTAGGTTACAAGCGAATAGCAAAGTAATGGTGCGGAAACGGGTTCGAACAATTAGTGAAGGGCAACAGAGTGTTCATGACGCACTGTGGACAGAGGTGGACTCTCACAGTTTCGAAAAGTGTGCCAGTGACCCACCTGCAAACCAGCGGCCGTGAAGCGCGTTGACCGAGGCCACGGCCGAGGCAATGGTGGGGCACTTGACGTAAACGTGTCCCTCCGGAGAGGCCTGGTCCACGTAGACGTGCAGCGCCCCACCATGCTTGCGGCATTCCTCCATCACGTCTCGGCGAATTTCCTCGTCCCACGATGGGTTTGTCTCCGTCAGGGGGTCAAACATGTTGGACAGGAGGAAACACTGGGTGGCAATCGTGGGCGCCGTGGCTGCTGCCGCCACGGCCCCCTGAGGCTGGCCCGGAAGGCCCATGGGGTTCATCTGGAGCGCATTCACCGCCGCCTGGGGGATCTGGAAGCCAGTACCTGCAGCCCAGATTCTTCCGTCAATCAATGTGAAACAGATGACTGAGCTCGTCTCTGCGGCTGACGGTCTCAATGAAGAGCCCTGTGCATGCTTGCAACGAGAGCACGAGCTATAAAAACATGCATAGGCAGACTTGTGCACTTGAAGTGAACCAGACAAGGAGATTTTAGAGCTTGATGTCCTTCATAAAAGGGTACTTAGCATATCATACAGCAAGGTGCCATATCCCTTGTAGGTTACAAATCTTTATGATAATGAGTACCTTTGATTGCATTTGCAAAGATCTACTCAGTGCAATAAAACTATTTTTCATAATTTTTTTTTTTTTTTGACTGACATAAAGTTTAAAAATATTGCACTACGGTCGAACCTCGATATAACGAACTTCAATGTAACGAAATTTTCGATTTAACGAAGTATTTTATTTTTCATAATTTCTTGCCCATAGACCCCATGTATTTTTAGTCTCTATATAACGAAGTCTATTTTGCTGCTATTTCAATATAACGAAGCGCCATTGCCATAGAAGGCAATAAATAAATAGACTCTAAAAAACAACCTCGCAAAAGAATTGTGGTTAAAAAAAAATTATGCGCAAACGCGAGCGCTTGATAGGTTACTTCACGGGGACAGGCCTTCCAACGTTCCTAGGCTGCCCGAGGATGCGGCGCCGGTAGCGCCGGCGAGGCATGCGGGGCTGGCCAGAAAATGCCGAGCAAAAAGTTAACACGGCATCAGAGCATCACCACTGACATTCACTGATCATCATAGTCCACTGTAGCGCGGGAGCCAACTTCAGCGGGGGAGCGACGTGATGGCGCGACCGCACGGGCAGTGCCATCTAAAAGAAGACCGAGAAGACCGATTATCGTCTTGCGAGCGTGATGTAAAGCAAAGGCGCAAGCACACTGTGGGCGCAAGGGGGCAAGTAAACTGTGCGGGCAAGAGTGCTGTGTAGGTTGGAAACATTGGCACCGCCTAAACAGCTTTATTTTTCAACCGGGCGGTTCACTCACGTGCTTGCTGCCATAAGGAAACGTAAAGTTCTTTCTTTGGACGAGAAAGCAAACGTTTTAGACGCCATCCTGAAGAAACTGCCGAGATCCCGAGCACTCGGGAAGTGCTCGACGCAATGGACGTACTGAGGAGGTACACGGCGTCGCATGGGCAGCAAGATGCCGTGCAAGCGCTCTGGGCGCTCGAACGCCGTATGACGCCGCTGCTACTGTCGAACAAGGAGCAAGCGAAACTCGCGGACTACTTTGCCCCTTAAATAAATGTCATTTTCGGTGAGTTTTCATATCCGTAAAATGTTTCGGAATTTTTTTTTTGCATGCTAAAGCCAAATTTCGATTTAGCGAAATTTCAATGTAACGAAGTAAATTGCGAATTTTACCGACTTTGTTACATCGAGGTTTAACTGTACAGTGAAACTCTTTTAGAACAAACCCACGTACAGCGAATCATTGTCGATATCAAACTCGCGATAAATTTAAATAAAAATGCATAAAAAAGTTTTTTTATAACGAACAACATATCGGCCATATCAAACTCCTTCCTCTCCCTCCCTCCCTCCCTCCCTCCCTCCCTCCCTCCCTCCCTCCCCCTCCCCTCCCCCCCCCTCCCCCAGGAAGGCTTCCAAAAACGCGCAAGCAGTTGTCTTCTAGCCTGTCCCTTCACCCCCAAAAAAGTGGGAAAGAAAGAAAATGTCAAAAGCTCAAGTTGCGAACAAAATTGAGAGAAGAGAAGCAATTCAGAAGGGGAGATAGCTAAAAAATTCCCTCCGAACCCAGGCAAAGAAAAAAAAAACACTTTTCATGCCAAAACTATTGCCCACGAAGAGAAACAATTCAGAAGGGGAAATAAGCTAAAATAACACACTCTGCACGCATAAAAAAAACAAAAAAACTTTTTAGCGCGTTTTTACAAGGCGGAAGCGAAGAGATGAGAAAGAAAGAGAAGCTCTTGCCTTACAACGAACGCGAACCCATCCGAAGTTAGTTGTAAATGGTTTTTGCTATATCGAATTACTTGGTATACGAACTGATTGTAGCATTTCCTGCTGTTCGTTATAAATGGGTTTGACTGTATATCAAAACTAGGGTCCTGTGTTTTTAGAGTTTATTTTTTGGGTGAAATTTGGAGGGGTGTTTTTTGGAGTTTACTTTTTGCCAAATATTTGGACTATAGAAATTTCTATTATTTGTAAGACTTCCCAATTCTCTCAAGAAATGTAAGTTTCATTTTGCTCTTCTTTAAATTTTCCAAAATTAAAAATAAATAATATCTGGACACAAACATACCCTAAATTCAGAAGAACTGACCTCTCCCCATCAAACAATATTTCCTCATTTGGATTTGGCACTGGCACCCTTGCCATTGTGGCAACACTGATTGCAAGCACAGTAAGGGACAAATATTAATATACTGATCATCCCACGACTAAACTTGCGAACAGGTGTTGCTTCACTAAAGTTCAGTATCACTAAGCTCCTGAACACATTTGCTGGGAAACTCATTTTCTTCCCATCCTGTTCCGCTGTCGACACCGTGGTTACGTGGAATGGGGCAGGTCGCTGTCTTTGACCACCCTCTTTGGTCATTTTTTGGGCCACGGCCAGAAAAGTGCTTCGGGCTGGACAAGAGTGTAACATTCAGGGCTTTCCTACACGTGAAGCTTGTACATAGCACAACAGTCTTAGCGCAAGCATGCCTTTGCCAGTTCTCCTCGTTTTTTTTTCTTATAATTGAAAGGCTTTCCTTTCATCAAAACTATTAGTGTGGTGGAAAGCACTTATGCGGGGCACTAACCTAGGCGGTAAAATTTTCTGCTTGCCAATACCTTGTCCCAAGTGTGAAAAAGTGCCGACATCGTGCTCGTGCTAGCAATGTCGCACAGTGTACCTTCCACAATGAAGTGCAGAATGCATGTGCACAGAAGGGCACATATGCATTAAGTTATTTTCGAGAGCAAAGTTGCACACCTCATACAAGGCTGCACAGAAATCTGCACTTATAAAAATAGCCAACTGTAATAAGATAAACATACCACAAAAAAAAAAAAAAAAAAAAAAAAAAAAAGACTTCGAAATTTGGCATATGCAACACGCACTACTAAACCCAGCACTTGGTTCAGTGATTTTCGAAAAAAAAAAAAAAAAACTTAAAAATTGCATTAAAAAACCAAAAGCAAAAAAAAAAAGAAAAAAAAAGCCTTTTATATTTTAAAGGTAAATACAAGCGCCTCACACAATGCTCCGCATTTAGCCTCTTTTTTCCGTGCAACTCTTACTAATTTGCACTTCGTTGATTCAACCCATTTCAGTGTCCCCTCAAATGTTTGTATTAAGGCCTGTCCAAACAGACTACTACAAAAATCGTCAGGCAACACGACTCCTGCAAAAATCGTGAAAATTGAAGCGTCCAGTAGTCGCCAGTCGTACGTCTGTTTGGGCACCGGCCAAGCCAAATTCACGACTTTCCTCCTCGCCTCCCTCACTTTTCTTTGACGTCGGTGCTCGTCAGACTTGACGTCACACGCCACCTGCCAATTGTGTTCCTGATGCCTCTCCATCTCCCGCGGCTCACTCCGTCACGTCACTCTGCCTGCCTGCCTGCCTGCCTGCCCCTGCCCCCCCCCCCCCCCCCCCTCCCCTTCATTTACAACGCTCACAACGACGACGAAGTCGCCGACCTTGCTACCCGCCGTCACCTCGGCAGAAAGGCCAAAGAGGTCCGGCTTCGAGTGGATTTGGGAGACTCCTGCGTCGAAGCGCGCGTTTCGACCGCTCCTGCTCAGCTTTCTTTGTCAAAATCCACGTTCGTAGCTCGAAAAAAATAAATAAATAAAATGCAGTGTGCAACAGTGAGACTTTTAGTTGTATGTAGAAACACTGAGAACTTAAGAATATATAATTTATTTCATTAAACTCCAAACCAACCAGGTTTGTTTGTCAATACGAGGCACGTTGGGAACAAGAGCCGCGGGAATCTGATCCAATCCACAGAACTGCTGGAAGATGACACGACCTTGGACACTACGCGTGCTCGCCTGGCTTGCCCCTTCACACTCGAGTCTTCCCTTTCCCGTTTTCGGGACTTTCAAAGCGGCGGAGGCCTTGAGCGACTGACTGGCAGCCAACAGAGCCTGTGAGTGGCTCTTTGGACCCACGCGATGAGCAGAACAAGGCCGGGGGAGATTTGATGGGGGGAAGTTTCCCCCGGCAGATTTGACAGGGGGAAATTTCTTCCCAGCTGCCGGAAGTGGAGCACCGCATGATTTGCCGGAGTCATGTGTTTTGTAGTATCCTGTTTAGATACCCCTTTACCGAGCTGTTGTTACGCCCACTTCATAACACCACGCATAGCTTTCGTTAGCACCCCCCAATCTGAGCCAGGGGCGTGCACTCACCCTCGGCCAGCTTGGCCATCAGCTGCAGCCTGCCCGTAGCCCCGAGGTCGATGCCACTGCGGTCAAGCTCTTCACTGTCCAGGAAGCTGGGCGCCTGGGACACGTCCGTGCGTTCCGTCACATGCCCCACCTTCATAGGACGCCCAGCCAGCTCAAAGCCGTTCAGTTGCTCCAGGGCCTTCTTGGCATCCTCGGAATCGTGGAACTGGAAATAAGTGGGCCCGTTACAGTCTCTCTCAAACCCCGCTAGTCTCTACCTTTTCCCACTTGTCCACTATTCTGGCGAGTCGACCACCTCCAAGACTCGTCTGCCATGCAGTGGTTCACTAATAAGATGTGTTGCTGAACCAGTAGATTGAAGAGAGATATGCGATGCCCGGAATTATAGAATTCGAGAGCGAGTCTAGACAACGATTTCTCATTACTTTGTAGGAGCGAGCGCAGAAATGTAGCTAATCACAAAAGCTTCCCTCCTTTCTCCTGAAGATGATTGTGCCAACTTGGGCTGCGGTAACCTCAGAACGCTGCAATTGGAAGTGGGGCTTTTTTGGACGAGAAAACTAGTCCGAAAATGTCTCAAGAAAATCCATAGCTTCCAAATTTTTCTTCCAATTGAAAAATGTGTCCCTCTAATAAATTACCCTAGTAGTTTTGCTCGCTTTTTTTTTTTGCCAACTCTCTGTAAGCAGTCTCCTTAGTACCTGTAGGCTCATTACATGCTGGGCCAGTTGCTCTCTAATTAAACCACCAAAACAACTGTGCATTCTTCCTAACCAAAAAAGAAGAAAAAAAAGACAAACTTGCACAGCAGTTTTCTGCTCACTTACTGTGATAAAGCCGTAACCCTTGGAGCGATTCGTCTCCATGTCCTTTATCAGCTCAATCTTGTCAATCTGAAAGGAACAAAAGACACGACTATGTTAGTAACATTCTACCGGGTTCAGGGAGAAGTGATTTCCCCTCAGACTGACATAAAAGTGACATCAACAAACATCACAGATACAACCCAAGAGCAAGAGACAGAAGAAAAACTTGTCCTTCTAATGCCCTTGACTTTAACAAAAAAAAAAAAAAAAAAAAGGAAGTGTTCTGCACCTTGCCAAATGGTTCGAAGATGCCTTTGAGCATGTCCTCTGTGATGTTGAAGTGAAGAGAGCCAACGTAGAGGCGCATCGGCCCAATGTTGCCCCGCTGAAGGGTGCTGCTACTGGTGCTGGCACTCTGGGCAGCTGCCCGATTACGCTCTGCCTGGGTCGGCTGAACCACGATGGGGATGCCAAACAGTTTCTGGCCATTGAGGCCCATGGCCTGAAAGGGGAACGAGACTGCTACTTCAGGACTGCTCTCCCTGAAGTTATGGGTTAAACTAGGCACGGGAGCCAAAATAGGCCTCTGCTCCGTTTCAGGAATTGAATGGGCCACACTGGAAGGTGCGAGGACAAATAACAATTTTGTTATCAGCCCTTGCCTACCTGGAGGTGTATGAGAATTACAAGCACACATTTAAGTAACGATAGAATCAACCTTGGAACTAAACAAAGTCGTTACAATTATGAGGATGTGTAATTTAACTAAACTTTTAAAAGAGGCAGCAACTTTGATGTTGTGGCATAAAAGTTAACTATCAAGGAGACACTCCAATAGTCTGGAAACCAAATTTCTGCTTTGGCAAAGATTTGAATCCAGATTGAGTTAACCCTACCCAGCATCGTTGTCTTGAGGCACAGCAGCAAATCAACAGACAGCAGTATTTTCTGCAGCCTTGGCCTTCACTTTTTTTTCTTTTAATAAACCGGAGTGACATACACTCGAACACCAAAAAATCCTGCCTACAGTATAAATTCAGCCACAATTTTTGTCTATGCAACAATACAAAGAGCCAGTAATCCCAATCAGTTCATCAATTTCGTAGTATATGGCCTTTAGGGTCTTCCCCCTCAAACTGGTTTGGTGGCTCAGCAGTATCAGCACTTAGATGCAGTCAAGATGGACTATGGTACGATTCACAATCACTCGCATAAGTGAGACAGTGTGGCAGCCAGATAAAGTGATTGATTATACCGATCAACATAGGTTGAAGACTATTGTAAAGTAGGGTGATTACCACTCAAAGATGAGACATTTGTTTCACATCAGTTATTTTCTTTACTTCAAAAACCATATCTCTTTTTTTTTTAATCCATACAGGGAAGATTTTTTTATATTTGGGTCGCATGCATTCTCCCTGGAGGATGTGAAGTCCTAAGCCTATATCTTGTTATCTGTAAAAAAAAAAGACCCCCCTTAAAAAAAAAAAAAAAACTTGAAAACACGTAATTCTAAATATAAGCTAAGAACAGAAGGATGCTTCCCCTTAAATGCCAAGTGCATTCAATGAAAACAAAACATCCCTACCCCACAGCATTTGAAGGCGGACAATTTCTCACTCACCAAGGGCACGGACTCTACATCTTGGAATTCCACATAAGCAATGCCTTTCGACCTTCGCGTTTTGTTGTCCATGATGAGGCGGACATCCCGCACCTGAAAAATTTGGCATGAGCCTCAAGATTCTAAGCCACAAGAACATGACACAAGGTCTAGTACTCTACAAGGAGAGCTAGCTACCATCTGTCCGGTAGTCATAACAAAAATCGGCAGTGACATCATATGTTAGCCCCATCTACCGTAAAGTTCCGAGAGAATGCCCACTCCCACAAATTCGGGTTCCCGCGTTTTTGTCAGCGATTTGCGCGCGCGATATCAGCTCCCGTAACAAGTGAGTTGTTCCCGCGTGTACATTGCATCATGAAATGCGAATCTGCTGCGTCCGCGATCTGCGGCATCCATTCCCGTGACATGAGAGTTTGTAGCGGATTCCAGCATTTTTGTCGGTGATCTGCGCGCACGATATCGGTTCCTGTGACAAGCAAGTTTGTAACGGGTTCCCGCATGTTTATTGCACCACGATATGCGGTATTCGTTCCCATGAGATGCGAGTTCTCGGTGGGTCCTTCGCACAGTAAAACAAGGATCTGCTGCAACCTGTGGTATCTTTTCCCGTGACACAGGAGTTTGTCGCGAATTCATGTTTATCGCATCATGAAACATGAATTTGCGATGACCACGATCTAGAGTATCAGTTCCAATGTCACATAGTTTGTAGTAGGTGTCCCGACGTTTATCATTAATTTTTCATAAAGTTTTGCTTTGCCATCCCCAAAGATAGCCCACCCTATGTCTTTCCCCATTTATCTCTTCATTTTGGGTAGTCGTTCTTTCGGAACTTTACGGTGCTACTTACAATGAAACAAATCTTCGCCAACCTCACCAAGCAACAATAACAATGACTCGTATAAAAAAATAAAATAAAAAAATGTACTCATTGGATATTGAGTGGAGTGAACTAAGCAACACAAAGAGCAAAATTAAAAACAAAAAGTGTACTCTCAGCGTACAATACCCTCAACGCGACTCTTGATAAACTAGTTTTATCCACCTTGCCAACGGCTGAGAAGAACTCCTCCAAGTCCCTTGCACGAATCCGTTGAGACAGCTGCATGCAAAACACCGTGCGCATGTCCCTCTCCTCTGGGGTTATGTCATCCGGGCCCCTGAAAAGATATCAAGGCACATAATGCACGCCCACACAGTCACAAAGAGCAGCGTACACAATTGACAGAAACTGGAAGAAAACATCAAAAAACATTTTTAACAATAGGCTGAAGAATGAGCTGTCGCATTGCAAGCTTCGAATAGTACATATACGTATACCAGGGGTGGCCAGGGGGACATATTCGAAGAGCTATAAAATGGAACCATTTTAACTGAAGAGCTGCAATGAAAGGGGGGCATGGCACTGTTTTAATTATTTATTTGCCGCTCAGTTGATGGCCATGGCAAATTCCACTCAATAGTTGATGGCCATGGCAAATTCCACTCATAAAGCAATTACTCAGTATGTTTCCTTATTGTAAGCTTTCGTTCGTAAAAAAAGGGGCCTTGTTTGATGTGCATATGATGGCAGAAAGCTGACAAAATGCAAGCGGTCTTTTTTTTTTTTTTTTCTATATGACTGGGGGGAGGGTTACCAGGGAGCTGCAAACCAGATACGGGACCCTGAAGAGCTGAGTGAGGCTCGCGAGCCGCTGTTTGGCCGCCCCCGATATACAAGAACAGCCACAAAGGAAGCGACAGGAGTTGTGGATTCATGCTACAAAAGTGGCTCACACCATTAAGCATGGTTGAATCCACTCCACCAAACCCAAACACCATATTGGCAGCATTTTTAAAAACCTTTTTTTCAGTTACCACAATATAGCCATCCCAATGCCTACACTGAGATGGCAAGTAAATGATGCATTTGGCATACAGTTAACGTTTTCGTGCAACGGTTGTTTAGTTGGGTAGGTTGTAGTTAGGTTGGTCAACAAAAAATAGTTGAAGCGCAAGTATAGAAAAAAAATAACAAAATATAGCTATTGGAATGAACCCCTTGAATTCTAGTGCCTTCCAATAGACAAATGAAGCGATTCGCTATTTTGCCCCAACTCAGCTACGTCAGAATTTAACATGGCAACAGTCACAAAAAAATTGGTCTATACCTAATCAAACTGATTTATAAATATTCTTGCTATATGCTATTCTTAAATCATGTATGATTAACACAGGTTGTCAGGGCATCTCTGCATATGTAGTGCGATCCACTTATAACGATAATGAAGAAACCGGAAAATTCATTCGTTGTAATTGAGTATCGTTGCATCCGGACTAGAAATCAATTGTTTCTAGTCAAGAAACCGATTGTTATAAGGTTGACGTCATTATATGTGGTATCGTTATAAGTGAATTGCACTGTACTCATGCGTGCGTTTAAATGTGAAAATTATACTGCAATGTAGATATCAGCATTCACGCAATTTGTTTTCTTTTTTAAATGCATGCACGTGCACCATCTCCCTTTGGGAATTTCCTTCCAAGCACGTGGGGGGGTTAGCCCCGTTCATGCACTTCTTACCAAGCACGGGTGCACTGCGGAGAAGCCACACCGCGCGGAAGCGAGGCCTGCGAGTGTTGCTTCCCCGCAGTGCACCGGTGCTCGGTAAAAAGCACACTCAACGGGGCTAACCTGCCGTGATCGACACTTCGAAGAATATTAGGGGTGTGCTAATATTGAAATTTTTGAATACGAGTCAAATACAGTAAAAAAATTTACTTCGAATATTGAATATGTGTACGGTGATAAGAAATGGTGACAACCCTCGTCTTTTGCGACAAGGGCCGCTTTCTCCGTTGAACCACATTTTTGTGTCGGCTGACTCTCCTACGGCCTGCTTGCAGAGTCCTTTTTATATTCTACCATTAACCAAAGGTTTAGGTGGTTTTAGAGCATTGTAGTTGTTCCCGTCGGTGTTCAAAGAACACTTTTGCACAACTTGCACTGTGTGGTACTGCCAGAGAAGACTTTCTAGCTTTCGCTCCTTGCTTGCTAGGTGGCTCATCAACTGTGGCTGAGGCCATACTCTAAAAACACACTCGAACAGCTAGCACTGCTGACAAATTGCCAAACAAAGCAGACAAAGTAGTGGTAGCCATCTTGTCCAGTAGGTACTTTGTTGTCTACAGTGATGCAACGTTTTTATAGCTTTTTTTTTTTAATTTCTAAACATTTATAAATACTTTGAGAAAACATTATCCAGCTAAGCTTGTTGTTTTGCCTATTTTTACTATACAAAGAATGCATCACATATATCCCTAGAAAAGTAATACAAATCTTGCCCGATAAAAAAAAAAAAAAGATACAAACTACTACTGTCTCGTGAGGAAGATCAGAGTTTTATGCAAGACGAAAACAAAGCCGATGCAGAACAGATATTGGTTGTATAGTGTGTAGATTTCAGTGAATAAACATCCTGAGAGGCCTCAGAGTGTTCAGGGCCCATGCGTGGCACGCACATTATTCCTTATCGACTCAAACATCCGGAATTTTGTTAGAATATTCATACCCTTTTCAAATACTCCGCCGTGGCCGAATATTGGAGAAATTCCGAATACGCAATTCTTGAATCTAATATGTATCGAATAAAGGAAAATATTTTATTTGTATTCGAAATTCCGAATATTCGCACACCCCTAAAAAATATGAGCAACTCAGTTCACCTCGAAGCGAATATCAAATAGCATATTATTCTAAACTACTATTAGAAAATTTGCATACTTGCACAACACTAGTATATAAAAATAAATATGGCAGTTCTGAACAGCCTTGAGAGTAAACATGAAATATACTGCCTAAAGCATTACCGGTCATTATGTGTTCCCAAATCATACTTTTTTTTTTTTTTTTTTTGCTATGGTCTTTTGAAAAATGTATAGGACAGGGTTCTACTCTATTGTGTTAGTCCTTCAATTCCAAACAACACAAAGCAGGCCACAATATAATTAAAAAACAGCAATTGCATTTATCAACATGCCCACAAGCTTGTTCTTAGTTGTAAAGAAAGCCCTCGAAGCTTTCCCCCAAAATCAACTTGGTCATCAAATAGAAGGGAAGGAAAGTACACCATGAATCAAACAATTGGAGTACGTACCAGGCCCAAAAAACACAGACAAACCCCCCCCCCCCCCCATGAATCCTCTCAGCTAGAGCTGACCACAAATTTCTTTTCTGCCCTTCTGTTCGATGACCCAACCTAGCCGAAGACACCCCCTCTCACCTGGGTGGATGCGAGTCGAACGGCGAAACCTTGCTGTTTCTGAACCACGCAAGACGTGAAAGAGAAACGAGAGAAAAGGGGGAGGGTGGTAGGCCCAACTTTGTGTTACTCCCCCGCAGGCACAGTTCAAGGCTAAACAAAGAGCACTGGGGGACACTGAGCACAAGCGATGAGGATAGGGACAAAGAGGAATGCTGCAGACATACACTGTGTAGCTCACTATAAAAAAAGCAGCTGCGCTCACTCACTTGGGAAAACAATATCTGCAAAGACGAAAACAGTTCGTTCAGTTTGACCAATTGCATTAGGATGAAGAAGCAAAGCCAAAGGAAAGAGGCAGAACTTGGGAGAGCAAGCCAAGCGAGCAACCGGTCCACCCACCTCCTTCTCGGTGACATGGAGCGCCGCCTGCGTCGGTCCCGGCTTCGGCTCCTGAAACACAGGGTTGGCAGACGTCAGTTGGTCCTTCGCGAACGAGTCAAAAACTGTTCCTGAGGAGTCTGAGGAATGACAGACTAGTCACCTGCTGCGATGCATGGGTGGGGGAGGAGGTGGAGGGGGATGGCCCCTACGACGACCAGGGCTGCGGGAGCGTGAACGCTTGCGTCGGCGCTCCCGCGAGCGTGATCTTGAGCGGCGCTTGTCCCGGCTCCTGCTGCGGTGCCGCCCGCGGCTACGGCTGCGGCTTCGTCCTCGACTCCGGCTCCGCTTCTTCTTACTACACAACACAACGACGGCCAGAGTCACTCCCACTTTTACGACAGATGGGCCATCACCTAACTGCTATCTGAAGCTAGCACCAACAGGGAAAACAGCGACATGTTCCGTCCAGCAAGCAGGGGCCTTTGGCAAGACACTCTGCATCACTATGTCCACATAGTGCCTTTCAACTTCAAGCAGATACCCGAGAGTGCCAAACAATAACTTCGACACAGAGTTCCCAAGCAGTGCCCCCTGGCCTATGCCGAACCAACCATACGCACAAATATTAACTGCTCAATATCGTCAAAGCCTTAGAAGCTCAACTTAGGTACAAGTCCCACGAAAGCCCCAAAAAGTAGATGAGCAATATTTCTGCAGCCCCATGTTTATTTTGCATACAGCAAATGGAGAACAATCTTCAACCAAAGAAATCTGAGAAGCGCTGTGAAAGGCTCCAGTGCTAAGCTTTGGTGATGCATGTCAGACTTAGTGCCATTGGTGCCTCAGGTATACACACTTTCCTCCAATTCCAACCACTTTCAGATCTAGTATGTACCTATGCTTGTGCATTTTCCCATTTTTCAGCCTTTCACAGTTAACGTTTGGTGGACATGACCAGATAACCAGCAAACATTAGGTGGGTGTATTAGCTCCTGAAGCCTGATGCATTCTCTGATGAATTTACAAACCACATAGCTCCAGAGAGCAGGAGTAATTCTTTTCAAATTTTCTTTATGAAAAAGAAACCATTCTCTCAGATTTGTGAGCAAAAGTTTACCATATAGCAATTTTTTTTATAAAAATGATGGCTGAAATGTTGTATGTTTCCAACAAAAATTACCCTTTAGGATGAAGCAGAAAATCACTTCGCCGACTTCCAAGAGTTTTGTCATTTTTAATTTAAAAGAAATGCTCAGTCGGTATGCCCTTTCAGCTATACACCCTTTCATGCTTTGTGAGCGGGGCAGCAATATCCCAGTGCAGAATGCAATGCCGTTCATTGATCAATGATTATGGATGGCTAGGGCTGCCAGAGTCCTGTCGACCAACTGGGGACCCATAGGTTGCCACTTTGCCTCGGAGCTGCCGAGGCCAGACAGCAAAAGATTGAGAATGATGCAGGTTCTAGACTTGCACACCAATATAATAAGCTGTCTCTCTCAAAACTGCAACAAGGTCGCCGCCTTAAAGGAAAAAAGGTCACGCATGATTGTTACACTTCATTTTCTGGGATGCTTACAGGGACACTGACAGGGTATTTATGCTCACTAGGGTTTTTATTTGTACACGACGTATGAGAGCTAAACTACCCAGAACACAATTTGCAGCTCAAAATTCGTTTTCTTCCCACCCGGAAACCACCGACTGAGAACCAGCTGGTTTAGGTCGCGCTCACTCTCTTCTCCGTGGTCATGTGTGGTTCGGACACACACACCAAATATAATCAAAGTCCTGGGTCACCGAAGTTGCACATTTAATATTAAAAATAGAAAATATGATACCACTTTTTTGTGGCGTTTAAGAAGCTGCCAATTATGTTTTCTGAAGAAAGTAAAAAAGCTGCACAGAGTACTAGAAGCACTTTGTGCATTCTCTGCGTAATTCCCAACATGGCATTGTATCGTGAAAGTCACGGGCTGGACGAAGCGGACTAAGCGATGGCGGCGAACGACGGGCATGGGAACTGTACCTCAGAACTGTTGTTCGCGGTACCGGCGAATCTGTCTAGCTTTAGAAGATACATTTTTTACCGATCAATACAATTAGGATTTATTCTGTATGACACGCCCGACCACCAAGTTGATTGGCACGAAGACGTCTCTGAGTTGTCGCTCCTTCCCCTGGCTGAAGATAGTGCTCGTCTTACGAACATGAATTTTTAAGAGCTTGAAGAACACACAAACATGAATTGCTTGACATCTGCATTTTTTGTCAGCTTTGCACAACTGAAAAAACAAAGGAAAAAAAAAAAAAAACCACTGTCGGGTATAGCCACCTGACTTCTAGGAACTCTCCTCCTCTACATCTCTCCTTCCTCCCAAGTCCATTTTGGTTTCCGTTTCGAGCAGTTGCATCTTTTTACTTTATTAAAAATATATCTGATGTTGTAGCAAAATATTGATTGGATAGTCTTCTAACACCATATTGAATCACCTGGCAAAAAATGAAAACTTTTTTGGGGGGTGTGCATGTTGCAATGTTGTGTTTTAATAAAAGCTGTGGCTAACGTTACATCCAGAAGGAGCACTGAAACGCGTGGACGTAACTCCCCCCCCCCCCCCCCATGAACCTAGGGAAGGTGGAGATTTGGATGTAACTTGTGTTACGAAGGACGTAACGCTAGACACTTCATTTAATATAAGAAAAGGTCACACACAATTGTAATTTTTGGTTTTCTAGGAGGCTTGAGGCGTGCAGGTTTAATTTGCATCATAAAATGACAATCTCAAAATCCACTTCAGTGCCCCTTTAAACACTTGCAGTGCAGTATAGGAGGAGCTATAGAAAACTACAACTGGTGAAGCTATGTTGTAAAATGCTAGCCTACTCAAAGCATGCATCTACGACAACTAAAAAAAAAGGCTAAGCCCAATAGAATAGCCTGTCGTAGAAAACCGAATTGCAAATTAAAAGGTAATGTTTGATTGACTGTGAAACTGCAGTGCTTGCTAGGCATCCAGTGACAAGCATACCATTCATGCAAAAGATATCTGCATAAAAAAAGATAGCAAATCACCCATCTGCTAGAATATATGGAAGTCTCCAGACAACCGGTCATCTGCACTGGGGTGTGGAAGGCTGTGACCCCAAGAATAAAAATGCATCCTTAAAATCCTCAATGGCAAAAAAAAAAACAAGAAAACAGCACTACATTAAGGACGTTTGCAATTATGCACATGATGTCTACATCCCAAGACCTCAACAAGCAACCCGACGCTGTAGCTACTCCATTCGCCCCAAGAGCGTGCGCTGTACTGCAGCCAACGAGGAAGAAAGGAGACAGCACTCACTGCCTGTTCTCCTTGTCGGCCGACCCCTTGGCCCCCTCCTGAGAGGGCATCCCATGCTGAATAGAACTCGAAGCAGCCCCATTCAGTTCCTCCTGTTGAGATTTGTTGAGAGGATCAAAAAAGCAGCACCAAGACACCCACGGTTCCCGCCAGGCCATGGTTGCATTGGTGATGGACCCAGCCGACGACAAGGTGAGCAGGTCAGCAGACGAAAGGGGGGAAAAGGGGGAGGGGGCAAGAGCACAGCATGAGCAACCACGCCACAGAGTCCCTGCAAGAAAAAGCCTAGGAACAGCAGCCTCCCACAGGTCACGTGAACCTTGCCAGAGGATGCGTCCAAAGCTGCCCACAGCAAGCAGCTGGGGCAAGTCACCAAAGCCTGCAAGACTCTGCTTGTCCTGGCACACTGCTCAAACAACCCAACTGTTCAATGTGGCATTGCTGTTTTCCCCACCAGGTTCACAACCCCAAATGTGCCAAACAATGCTGGCTCCCCTTATCCTATCAGATCCCCACAATGTCAGTCCTGCCAGTTCAGGCACATTACAGCAAAGTCAATAGTGTTACCTCAGCCCATCATCCAGATGAACCTGCAAGAGAAACGGCCGCACATGCCAAGCAACCCAATCATTCATATACTCACACACACTAACACCTAGCCCCCACCCCCCCCACCTCCATTTTCTTGCACTTGACTGTGAACTAAATTGCAAGAGTAGTGAAGTTCTAGCAAGCCCCCTAAAGCTGCCCCAACAGAGCCTCTATACCTTTACCACCTGCCTAAGCAACATTTACAAGATCCCGTAGTCCTAAGACGGTTAAAACAGAATGCAAATAGAAAAGCGCCTTAGCTTGCCTATTGGATGGCACTCATTCACCCACTCACTCACCCTTTGGGCACATAACTCACAGTACTAAGCACACTTACACAGGATAGAAAATGAACATCTGTCCGTTGGACGACCTAGAGAAACCAGAGAAAAAAGAAAAAAAAAGAAAAAAGGTTCCAAGGAGAGAGAGAGAGAGAGAGAAAGCAAAGGGCACGAATGTCTGTTTGCATATTGCTTTCGCTTTGTTTTGTGAGAAATCAGCCTCCAAGGAAAATGGCTTCGCTGGAGTTTCAAACGTGGGGGGCGGCAGCCATCTTTTTCCCAGCCATCCCTGAGACAAGAGGAATGGTACACCATTTCAGAACCGAGAGCCTTGTTGTTTCTTTCACGCGACTTGCACATGTACGCTTCACTAGCTTAATTATCTTCTGCATGTGCAATGACATTAGCTTATGGCAGTGATAATTGCAACACAACTTGGTGTCTTAGGCAAAAATAAATAAATTATTTAAAAAGAGAAAAGTGCAATTCCTATCTTAACAACTGCCAAAAATTACTTTAACATTATGGGTAGTATCACTAACAAAAACAAAGTTTGTTAAGCACTAAATAAATCTGCTAATGTAAAAACAGATGAGAAAAAACAAAGAGTAAGAAATGTTCAAGTGATGATGCCCTTCAGAGGTTACTACCTTCTTGCAGTCTCCCAATGGTAGCTAGGGAAGAAGTGCTGGTGTCTATTGTGGGGGGTCTATAAGACACAAAGCGGACACATTATGTAGCGACGTCGTCAAAGACCTCTTTCAGTCAAAACAAAAATGAACTAAGCCACACACTATATCTGGCAGTGAAGCTCAATAAGGTGTCAAAAGCTTAATGACAACTAAGGAAGTCTCCCAATGCAAGGCATCAAAGACAAGCAACAAAAGCCAATGCAATAAAGATCTGTACCTTGTCAAATATTTGTTGAGCGTAATCTGGCAACATTTTGTCTCCAAGCTCCAGTACTTTCGAGTCTTAAACAAGATCTACAGAAACCAAATAAAACTCTGCAGCCGGTATCTCAAAGAGCATAGAACTGAGGTCATTGAGCGCACTTTACATCTCTAGGTCTAGACAAGACCAGTTTCGAATAAAAGGAAGCTGGCCATTACCTTTCTGTAGGGTGCCTCCAGCAAGGCCTCCACATCAAGGTCGTCAGCCATGACACCCCTGTGCAAGAGAACAAGGTTTCTGTTCAGTCTGCATATGCACACATCAAGGCACAATTAGTGAACAGGGAAAAATATACACTCTGGCCTTTATGCCCAGACAGGAAAAGAGACGCAAAAAAGCTTCTTAGTAGGAACTTGGGGACAAAAATATAAGCCGTATGGGCACAAAAGCCACCTTGGGAGCTCAATAGAGCGAACAGGCAAGCTAGTGACACGTACAGGCATGTTTGCGATATACCCACACAAGTTCATACGGAAAAATTCTCAAACGGAGAACTTGAAAAATGGTGAATATGCTGCCCACAACTCACACAAGAATAAACAATAAAATTACATATTTGTTGTGCCTTCATTATCTCGAACAAGTAAACTGCCCATTCAGACCAATTTAATGGTGCTCCCATCCCAGATGAAAATCGGTTCACTTGCAGCTGGGATATAGAGCTGATCCCAGTAGGAAATAAGACAATCCAGCTTCATCCAGCCAGCTAAGGCCAGTTCCCTAATCCAGCTCCAAGTCGACTGATTTTTACCTGGGACATTAAGTAAAAAAACGGACGTTTCTCTGCATGTACAAGCTTGCACATTTAAAGGGGTGCTCCAACGAAATTCTAGCACCTATTTTTTTTATCTAAATATCAACCACATTCTGGCCACGCCACAGAGACTAATTTTTTTTGTTTGAAAAGATACCAAATAATTTATTAAACTAATAAACCGAATGTCATCACGTCATGCTACCCATAAAAGCAGTGCCGCTCCGCATAAGTATGGTGGCATCCCGAACGGTCATGTCGTCACCGTCAAGTGGCGAAGCTCACAACCACACCAGCTCCCCTGAAACTTCGCCCGTGAAAGTAAATGAGACGTCATGAACACGCTGGACCTCCCGAGACGCATCACACTTTCTGATGGTTGCTCTTCGAGCACTTGCTGGAATTGGCCATTTGGAACAAAACATATAGCCATCCGTTTAATACACAAACGAACGATTGTCATTAGCCTAATTTGTTGATCATGTTTAACTCATTTCTGAAAGTGAGAGGTATATTTCAATTTTCATTTCGGTATCCCTTTAATACCCACTGGGGCTGAAATGTATATTACTCTGTACGGAGAGCAAGAGCATCAACGAACCATGATAAATAAATTGCACTCCTGGAGGGGGTACTGCACATTTTTCAGAACTGTAACGGCCATGTTAGCAAATTTCACAGCAATCCATACTTTAGCAAGCTTAAGGCCAACAACATTACTTACTTAAAGCCTATAGAAACAATATACACAAAAAAAGCTTTATTGAGTGGCTGAAGTTCCTTTTAACACTATTCATTACAAACTCCCATTCTATGTGACAAAATAACTTGCACATAACAGGAATTAAAGCAGCATAGACTTTCAAAAATGCATATTTCAATTTGTATTTTCGTGTGCACGTTAGAAGATACTTTCTTAAAAGATGCGTTTATATGGTAGTATGCACGTAAGTGTTGAAGTTTTGTCTCCTGCTCCTACTTATACGCCTTTCCAGCACTTGTCGCCCAGGCGAGAAATGCCCAGTCACTGGGCTGCAGACGGATGCACGTTGTCCGATATTCCGCAGAAGAGAGCTACAGTGTGTAGTGGAGTAGAAGACGAGGATGTGAATGAGGGATCCTGGATCTAAAATAACAGGTTCCGATTCTACAACCTGGGGCCGCATCCACTCCGCCACATATTGCCATCGAGGGTTCCTGGCCAAATTCTGGAGGGCAGCGCTGAAGGCGATGAATGCATCGGGTGAGGCATCGCAGAGGGGAACACCAAACGTCTTCCACTTCGTGGGACCAGGACCATTCGATCTGGCAGAGGAAGACTGGCACTGATTACCAAATAAGGTTTCAAGCATCCTCTGTATATCGCCGTAACGGCAGATGATGCCACAAAAGGAAACTTTCTGATTGCACCACTGGGGTCCGACACGGTCAAGCTGCTGCCTTCTCTGGTTCAAACCAGGCAGGTCAGTCAAGTTCCGAATGGGGTTATTGACAAAAGCACTGGACACTCATTTTTCACCGAAGTGCTTAAAGTTAGAACGAGCAAAGTTGTTTTCAACACGTCAGGACGAGTGTAAAACTCCAACCAAAGTCCTAGCACGATTACGATCGATCATTTGCAACTGCGAGTACGAGAATGAAGACGATGCTCACGCATGTTCGTTGCTCACAGCTTTCATCACTGAATTTGGAGATTAACACTTGAGAGCACGTCTTGTCCAAGAGAAAGAGCTATCGATCGACACTGCTATCACAATGTCGGGAAGCTTCCCCCAAGTGGAAGAGACCGGTCAATTGAAAAGCGCCGATAAAGCATTCCTCGCAGTTAGCCAAGCGAGAGATGTACAGCGATCTGCTAGAAAGTGTTTCCAATGTGGGAACACAAATCATGCTGAAGACAAGTGCCGTTTCAGGTTTGAAGACAGCAGAACTCATCGAATGAAAGGACCCATTGCCAAGATGTGCAGAAGCAAAGGCCAGCCTGGCAAGTTCCGACCAACAAGGAAAGGGACGGTACAAGTGATCACGAGGGTCCTGTCCACTTCAGACAGGGATGACAGGTTTCTGGAATGTCAGATTGAAGGCAGACGAGTGGAGCTTTAAATAGCCACAGGTTCACAAGTCACCTTACTGCACATTCAGACTTGGCATCACCTCGGAATACCAGAGCTGAACGAAATTCATTACAAGCTGCAAAGTTTCAGCAAGAAGCTCATCAAGGTCAAAGTCCATTGGGAACTTCAGGTGGAATTTCAAGGAAAGAAGTACAGCCTAGAGGCCATTTTTACTACCACAAGCCAAGTTAACTTGTTGGGGAGGATCTGGGTAAGAGCTCTGAAATTGTATCTCAAAAATTTGTTTATCGCTCTGGTGAACACAAAGCAAAGCTTCAAGACACTGCTGATTACGTATGCAGTACTATTCAGGAACGAGCTTGATCGGTGCGCAAAGATCAAGACTCAACTTCATTTCAAAGAGAATGCCATCCCAAAGTTCATGCATCCACGACCACTACAGTTTGCATTATGCGAAGCAGTAGAGTCTGGCTTGATGAGGCTAGTTGCGAACGGAGTACTGACTTCAGTAGAGACAGCGCAGTAGGCCACTCAGATTTTCACTGTCCCGAAAACCAATCAAACTAAGAGAGTATGCAGAGACTTAAGCGCGACTGTCAATCCTCACTTGAACGTCAGTACATGCTCCCACGACCAGAGGAACTTTTTTAAACTTAACGAAAAACAGAAGCTCTCGAAACTGGATTTGCTGGAGGCATGTCTTCAGATGGAGCTGGAGGAAGATACAAAAAAGCAAATCATCATCAACATGCACAATGGACTGTTCCAGCTTAACCGCATGCCTTTTGGCAGGCATATCAGTGCCTGCCATTTTCCAGAAGACTATGGAACAAGTAACATCTGGTCTGGGAAGTGCGGAATGCTACTTGGATGATATAATCGTCACCGGAGAAACTGATGAACAACACATCGAGAACTTGGAGCTCACGTCCCCGTGACTCAAGGACTACAGTTTTACACTAAAAAAAAAAAAAAAGTGAGTTTGTGTCCAGAAATGGAGTATTTGGGACAGATTTTGTCAGCGGAAGGAATATGTCTATCTCTCAAGAAAGTTGGAGCAATACTGACCACGCCGGCGCCTTCCAATGTTCACGAGCTACGAGCGTTTTTGGGCATGGTTCAATATTATGCAAAGTATTTGCTCATGCTGGCAAATTTTGTGCACTGTTGAGCAAGCTCCTCAAGAAGGTTCTATGGCAATGGAGCTTGCCTTGCATGGAAGCTTTCAAAGACATCACAGCTCATCTCGCATCCCCATGGAGACTCCTGCTCACTTTGATCCAAGCGAGACAATCTACTTGGCAGCTGGCACGTCATTGGCTGAAGTCAGGGCGATCGTCTTCCACAAGATAAAAGGGAAATAACGCCCAATTGCACACGCGTCGAAAACGCTAAATTCAGCACCATATTTCACAATGAGACAACCTCCGTGCGAGACACTTAACAAGTGACTACAGAACGAAAATGGATTTGATCAAGTCAGACAAGTCACCCAAAGATGCTCGTGGCTGAGTTCGTCAAAATATCAACTACAACAAGAGAAGTCGTGACTGGCCATTTCTCATAAATCAGAAGGTCTGGATGCAAGACAGGTTGAACAAGAACCATTGGACGAAATGTTCCATTGTCATTCAAGAGGGAAAGGTTATGTGGTTATGTTTGAAGTAGCTACAGAAGATTACAGGCAACACCAGGTACACGCAGATTAAATCAAGAAAAGGATTTGTGAAGGAGAGTGAGCCGCTATGTACCTACCCCTACCCTACCCCTACCCCCCCCCCCCCCCCCCCCCCCCCCCCCCCCCAAGCCCGGTGGCCAACTTGGACGCTGCTGATTCGCAGTCAGTGGCAAATAGATTGGATGCAGCTGTCAAACTATCAGTTACTATGTCCGATTTTACCGCTGTTCATCGGTATCCCGCCAGATTATGCAAAGCACTAGATACCTTCATATTCGCAAAAGAAGGGAGGAATGTAGTGGAGTAGAAGACAACGAGGCGCGCATGACCGAGGAATTCGGATCTTGGTGCTCGAGAGAACAACTGTGGCGGTGCTGCTCCTGGAGCTAAAATAAAATGTTCAGGTTCTACCACCAGGGGTTGTATCCACTCCGTCACACAGCACATGCTTGAATCACGTTCCACAGCCCAAAAAAACAAAGATGCCAGCATTCAGAAGGCGATTATTGGAATGGTCTACAGACCAGTGCACTGTCTACAGAAGAGTTTGTGTTAGCCCACACCAGATGTGGGCATTGCAGGTGCACAGAAACCAGATTCGTGTCAAGTCAAGCAGCTGCGCATGTGCCGACATGAGCCCAACCTCAGCGAAGCGACACCAGAGTTGTGCGTTTGTACTTTCTGCAAACTGCAGGGGTACAGGCTCAGTCAGGCAGGAATGTCCCTTGCCGCCACCTCCCTCATGTGCATGGCCCGTAACGAATTCGAATAAACCTTGATCTGTTCAGGGTCAATGTGGGAGAACTTCAGACTTTCAATAGTTTTCCAATCTCTTTCCAAATTCAAATTATATGGATGCACCAACTATACTCTGTTTCATACTTAGCGTGCAACGCTGTTAAAGCTACTGACGCGAGCGCTTGGCCTCATCTGTGGTTTTGTTTGCGCGAGAATGCGCATAAATGATCGAGATCAAGCCCCATGCTCGCGCCAGTAGCTTTGACAGCGTTGCACACTAAGTTTGAAACAGAGTATAAGCATATTTACACGACGCCATTTGTGTCTGTCTGAATTCCCTAGAAAATAATTGTTACAATTAACAATGGTTTCAAAGAACTTCACATCACCAAGTATTTCCCAAGGTCATATCCCCACAGGCAGTTCCAGGTAAGACCTGGCATCTCTACCCAAAATATCGTTGCCACAACATAATTAAAACGCAGAAAAGTCAAGATCACAAAAAACAAACTCCACAAGGGCATGCACATGAAGCGGTAGATACAACGCTCATAATGGAGACAAACTTTCGTAAATTAACCAGTTGTCTCAACAAAAAGACAATTCTTTTGAATTACGAAATAAGTGGCAAAGCTCACTGCTTGCACAGGATAGCAGCGTGTATGCAACAAATAGAGACTAGGCCCCTTGTTAAACTAGCAAGTCTTTTTTTCTTGTGATGCTTTACCTTATTTTAAACAAACTGGCCCGATGTTCCACATGTATTGGTGAGAAGGGCCATAGAACTAATGTCTAAACACTCCTTTACCATTTAATGGTGGAAGTAAGATGTCACAAAAGCCAACATTCTGTGCAAGCGCAGGTAGACAATAAAAAAAGAAAAAAAATCATTATAGAAAAGCAGTGCGCGTGCCCACCTGGTTCAGTAGAAAAATTACGCAAAATCATCTATGACCAAACACTAGCGTGAACTCACTTTTGCGCTGCCCTGGTCTGATTTTGCATTAATGAGCGGCAGTAGCGCGTTTGGTACGAAATGGTATTAAAGAACTCCAACAGTCCACAAGGCGCGTGATCAGACGAAATCGCCGCCGACTACAAAGCAGTGTAGTAACACGATATATAAAACCGTTTTAACTTCTCCGTAAGCACACTGTGGGCACTGGCGAAGGCCGAGGCAGGACCGAGGTAAAAAAAAGAACTCCACACTCAACCGTATGTTGCAACAAGCGAGTGCTAACGCTGTTCAAACCACTGCGTACTACGTCACTATTTGCTGTTAAGATTGATTTAAACTTTAGATGGCGAAACATAGCATCCTCCTGACGCCAGTGAGGATTCGTGAATAAACTACGTCCGAACGAGGACTGCGCGAGGTCCAAAAAAATACCAATGGCGATATCAGCGTATAGAAAAAGGGATTTAAAAAAAAAAAAGATAAAAAATAGACGTTTTGCCACAGAGCACGTAAAGAACGCCACCGCCTAAAATTCGAACGCCGATCGAACAACATAATTGACCGATTAGAAGAAAAGCATGCGGTCATGAGATTTTTTTTTTTTTTTTCATACCTCCCACAACACGATGTAACCAGAGCAAGCCGAGACAACCAGAGTGTACTATGCCCAGTCGGCCTCCCAAGGGCCTGCAAACTGGCCGTTCTATTAAAGATGGCGACGGTGCGCACGGACAACGGGGTTTCCCGGGTTGAACCAAGGGGTTCTGGTTAAACAAACCGAAACAAACCTAAATTGCCTAAAAAATGCCTAATCCAGAATTCCGCCACTCACCCGTGCTATTTCGTTACCTGAACCTACATTAACACAATTACAAAATTATTCGAAAAAAAAAAAAAAAAAGCAGCCCGCTGCAGTGCAATTAGCTGGCCAGATGGCGCAAGAAGCCTCCCGATTTGAAGAATTCAGGAATCAGGGGTGTCGCGAACTGGACAAGGTTCGACCCACTGAGTTGGCTTCGAATTGGATGGTGTTGGCTAAGGGATGAATTAAGGGCAGCGCTGATTGGTTATTTCTAGGGGTGTCGCGAACTTTTGTCGAACCGGACTTTTAGGTCGAACTTATGGGGTTCGACGACCTTCGACCTTTTCACCAGAATCGACCGGTTCGACTAGGGGTTCGACCACTGATCTCAATGACAAAGAGATCAGTGGGTTCGACTTTCTGCCTGTGGACAGTGTGGCCAGACCTTGATACAGGCATGACTAGGTTTGGAGAATTTTTTTTTATCTAAAGGGTTATTTTATTTTATGAACAGTTGCAATTAAAAGAAACCAAATCTAATCACTGAAGAAGTTAACAACTTAATTTTTTGTAGTGTATTAACTGAAATAGCCAATCAGCGCCGCCCTTAATTAATCTCTTAGCCATTACCATCCAATCCGAAGCCAACTGGCCAGCCTGTCGCGCATGCGCACACGAGTCGAACCTCAATACAAGGTTCGTCGAAAATTTCACCAAAGTTAAAAAAAGTCGAACCTGGTCGACCTCGAACCTCGGCCGGTTCGCGACACCCCTTGTTATTTCAGTTAATACAGTACAAAAATTAAGTTAACTTTTTCAGCGATTGTAGTTGGTTTCTTTTAATTGCAACTGTTCATAAAATAAAAAAAAAAAAAAAAAAACCTTTGCATAAATAATTTTTTCAAACCTAGACATGCAAAAATACTCCAAAAGCCTGGAGACGTCATAATTAAAATAAGAGCACCGACTTGACACAACACAAAAAAACAATTTCATTAGACGTAAATACAAATCAAATGCAAGGTTCAACCTCAAGTCTGTGCTCTTATTTTGAGGTTGAACCTTGCATTTGCCTTGCAACTACTGAAGATGCCTCCCGCGTGAGAGGCGAAACGTCTAATGAAATTGTTTTTTTCTGTTGTGTCAAGTCGGTGCTCTTATTTTAATTATAAACCTAGACATGCTTGTGTCAAGGTCTGGCCACACTGTCCACAAAGTCAAACCGGTCGAATCTGGTGAAAAGTTTGAAAGTTCGTCGACTCCCGAAAGTTAATCTAAAAATCCGGTCGACAAAAGTTTGCGACACCTCTACTTCTTTGTACTGAAAGTCGAAGGTTCGGTCGCCGTGGGTTCGGCGAACCAGTCGAATCTTGAGGTTGTGGAAGGTTCAACGTCAAAATTACTCTCCTTGGGCCTGCGCATTGTTGGTTCTGCGAGTCGTTGGTTCCGGCTCTGGTTCGTTCTGCACGTTCCACGGGGTTCAGTTTGGTTTAACTGCTGATTCCCATAGCTGTACCATAGCACAGTGGTTCTCAAATAAGGGCAGGCGAGGCAGAAAGTCCACGGGCCCTCATTTCAGACACGCAGCGCCACCCGATGGCGTTGCGTGTCCGTGAGGCAGCGGCTCCACCGTTCCACGCCCAAGGTCAGCGCTCCGTACGCCGCAGACGTAAGGGAGCGAAGAGCGGCGTGCGTGCTTTTGCATTCACAACTCATAAGAAGTGCTTAGGTGTACCTCGAGCCTTTTTTTTTTTTCCCTAATCTGCGCCTTTTCTTAGGGTATTCGATTCGACATCAGACTTTTTGGCCGCTATTCGGTGCTATTCAATTCGAGTTGAAATTTCACTATGTTCGCACCCCTCACCGGGAATCAAACCTAAAACCTCTTAGTCCGCAGCTCGACACTCTGTCCGTGCCAGCTAGACGACTTTCCATATACATGAATAATACTATTGTTACGTAGTGTCAATCCTCTCCATAAAGCATGGTGATGCAAATGAGGTTGGTGGCTATAATCAACATGTTCTTCATTGTATCTGTCACTCCTTTTGTATCTGTCGCTCCTTTAACAATGCATTCCATGCATTATAGGACTTTGGAGATAAAAGTCACTGCCAATTTTGTTTTGTTGTTTTATCCTGTTTTGCTACTTTGGAGGCTTTTTGTAAAACCCAGGATGAGCATGCGAACAAAAACTAATTTCTCTTCCCCGCTTTGTTAACATCGAGTTTGTTCCAAGCAGTGTGAATGCGGACCAGTACGGTACAGTAACGTACCATTGCAAGATAGTTACTTCCATAAACTTTTTTTAAAAAATTAAGAACTTTGAGAAAGCATGGTGCTCACAGCATTATGTACACAATGCTCTTTTGCAGCTTCCCATTTTTTTTACACGAGGGACTCAAAACCATTCACAAATCCACAAGTCAATATGGTATGTAAACATGATGTGCCTTTCAATCAACTCTGCACAATTGTTTTTTTGTTACGAAAAGTGTGAATACTGAATTGATGTGAGCGTAATGTAAATGGAATACTTTAGTTTGAAAGAATTAAAAGACGAAGGAAAGGAAGAGGCCACTCTCATCCTCTGGTGGTGTGAAACAGTCAAAAATACCACCAGAGGGTGGTCTTTTTTACCAGCCTCTGGTGTCTCAAACTGAAACCGAGTGTCACACTAGACAACCCAAACTTTAAAGAAGCTATATACCATGACTGAATAATGAAAGTTGCTATCCAATTTGTTCTTAAATATTTATTAACTGAGAATAAAAATAACCTTGCCACAAGTGCAATATAAAATGTAACTTCTAGGAATTCTCTTTCTGAGACTCCAATTCTTCCAATATGGTTAATTACTGTCTTGTTTCATAAAAAGAAAATGAGCAAGCAGAAGCTACAGAAAACAATTTCTGAGAATTTCGAACACCTTGGGTCCTTGCAAGAATTCCACAAATAAACAATGACAAACAAAGGAAGCCCTATCTATCTCGCTATTTTCCTCTGCCAACAAAGAAACACCCACCCCTGGGGCCCTTATTGACATCCAGAACTGCAGTGAGCTGAGCCAGTCATCGCTGCTGCCTTCTATAGAAGAATAAAAAAACAAAGAGAAAGACACAGATTGTAACACTCGTGAATGGCCCCTTAGTGGTCGAAGAAGTTCAAGTGCTTCAACGGCTCGGGGAGGAACGGCAATTCCTTGCTCTGCCCACGGTGGGGTTGACCAGAATGGCTGGTATAACTGGTGTTGTTGCGAAGATGCAAAGGCACTGGAGGAAGGCGCTCCTGTTCTTGGACCGCTTTCTCGGCACAAGCGTATGCATTGTAGCTTTCTCTCGATTTGGGTGCCCGGGCGCAGTAAGTGGTACAGTGGGCAAGGATTATCTGCAAAGAGAGAACATGAAACCAACAAAGCAAGTTAGTTACCCTTAAAGGGAAGATGGGGCACTTCTACATTTGAGAAAAAACGCTTGAATTGCGTTCATTTGGCCTTTAGAATAACAGATATCAAAATTATATTTCAATGCGACGCGCCGGAGGGCCACAAGAGCAATTTCAAAATAGGGCTGAAGCCACGCCTCCCTAGCCTTGGGCAGCCAAAAGAGCCGTCGATGACGTCACGGACAGCGACTGTCTTTCGCGTTTTTCTCGCGTTTAACAATACTTACACAACAAATGGTTTGGGTATTCGGGTTCAAGGGGGAAAAATAAACTAGAATTCACTTCTAACTCATTCTTTCCAAGAAGCTCCGTAGCTTCCCTTTAAGCTGTGCCTTTAGTCACACACTCGCTCAAAGCATTCTTTGTTGAATCCATTGTTTATCTAGAACCATATTAAATTTTTGCTGCAGCTTGAACTTTAATGAAAGCGCTCATAAAAGTACTAGCTCAGCAAGAACCATGTGTTCGGTGCCATCCACTCGTCGACATCTACCCTAGCTGGCTGACTTTGGTAAATTTATTTGGCTCAACAAGCAATGGTTCAGACAAAGATCAACTGGTGAAGACTGAACACTGTTACCACTGAATCTCTGTTTGTGTTCGTCTTTGTCCCTTGTTGAAGCAGTCCTTCCAAGGATGTTCAAAAACATGCACAGTACTTTAACTATTTATTGTCACTGTGCTCTCTATTTTATTGTTGTCGGTTTGCTGGACAGCACATTGATCAGTTTCTGACCATGTGAGCTGCCATTTTACAGAGACTTAAATTGGCAGAGGTAGATTTGTAGCATTTTAACTTTAGCAATTACCTAAAACAATATACTGTAAAACCCTTAACGTTCGCGAGCCCTTAATTTTCACAAATTTTGCAAATTGAAATATTAACGAAATTTAAAGGGGCGGTGCAATAATTTCCGAACTTTGGTCAACTAACTTCAAAAATTAATCTGTGTTACCTATGAAACAAAGAACAGAAAACCATTATTTCTTGCAAGCGCTAGTTTAAAAAAAAAAAAAAAAAAATGACACAAATCGACGGTCAAAGTGCCTCTCAACTCTCCACGTTGCCTTTCGAGTGACATGCTCTGGGGGATCCACGTGGTTTCCCCTTGGGTTCTCTCTTCAGAGACCCCAGCCGCTTCTTCTGCGATTGTCGACTTTTAAAGGATTAGCATCATCGAAGGTCACGGCGAGCGATTGACACAAAAGGTGATTCGCCACAGGGCTGACGACGTCTTTTTGTTGACCCCAACAGATGCTGTCACCGTAGTTCCCATAACCGCCACACGTGGCTGCAGATCAGCAAAAAATTAGTTTTTGACTTCGTGACTATGCAGCAGAAACCGCCTATATATATATAGGCGGTTTCATTTGGATTCAGGCAACGAGGTGCAGTCATATTTTTTATTTTGCTTTAAATTTTTATATTTCGTGGCGCATATGCCAAGAAGAACAATCCTGTTTATTTTATTGTCCTGACATGTTTAGTTTCTGAGAAAAAAAAAATCTCAAAGAAGCGGGAAAGAACGATGAGGTTTTGACGATTGTCGTGTGTGGCATTTTTGAATCACTCTCGATCTCAAAATATTCAAAAGAGAGAGACTATATTTTTTTATTGTGATATACCGGGTGTTTTTGCGAAGACTTTCAAAAATTCTAAAAATTAGGGCGATTGAAAAAAGAAGAAACTCTCTTCGGGAACAAACTACCAGCCACGGCGGACATCAGGAATTGCCAAAAAACCTACTAATTAGCCAGATAATTAATTAAAACTTGTTAATTCACTTTTTAATTAGGGGAAATAGACATATGGTTCCAATTAGAAAGTTGCTGAGCGTTATCGAAAACCACTAAATCAGTCATTTTCAGAAAGACTTTGAGCGCGTGAGACGAGTAGTAGCGCACTGAAGTTGCCACTCGTGGAGCAGGTACAAGGCTAGCGTTTGCGGTAAGGCGCCCGCGCGAATTTTTCGCCTCTTATCTAGCCCCAGCCTTGTACCTGCTCCACGAGTGGTAATTTTAGTGCGCTACTACTCTTCTCAAGCGCTTAAAGTCTTTCTGAAAATGACTGATTTAGTGGTTTTCGATAACGTTCAGCAACTTTCTAATTGGAATCATATGTCTATTTCCACTAATTAAAAAGTTAATTAACAAGTTTTAATTAATTATCTGGTTAATTTGTAGGTTTTTGGCAATTCCTGCCGTCCGCCGTGGCTCGTAGTTTGTTCCCGAAGAGAGTTTCTTCTTTTTTCAATCGCCCTAATTTTTAGGATTTTTGAAAGTCTTCGGAAAAACACCCGGTATATGCAAGTAGGTAAAATGACATTATAACTACTATTTATTATTCGTCGCTCCAATCTTTGTAAAAATCCCCAAACATGCCTCCGCGAACAACGTGACCTAAACTGCAGATTTTGTTTTTTGTCGACCATGTTTAATATTGTTTTTAAAATAATAGCACGTGTAGAACCCTTCATTGCCTTCCAAATGAATGCAAAAATGTTCCAAAAGCCGGGATTAATGATTAAAAACAAATACCTCCGACTTACATAACAATACCAACATTTATCAGACGTTTCGTCTCCTCAGACGTCATCAGACATCATCAGTGCGGCCTGGGAACACCCGACTAGCTACCAGAAATCAAACGCTTCTTCTTCCTTTTCTTCATCCGTAGCGCTGGTTCTGCCGACTTCTTCGTCGACGGCATATGGGAGACATTATCATCGTCTGCACTCGCTTCAACTTCTTTTTACGTCCGTCCTGGATGGGAAGTTAAATGAAAGGTTATTTCAGGATGTCGGTGTACACGTCGGGGAGGGGGCCGCGGTTAGAATTGCAGGCAGATGGGTCACTGCGAATACACCATGATTCCAGAAATCTTCTGGGGCCCCACCGTTGTTCGCGTGCCAGGGTCACAGCCTTCGCAAGGTCAAAAGTGTGACCAGTCGTCCAACAATGGTCCACCTGTTCAGTTTTTGATCTTGTGGCATGTGTTGCCTTCTCCACGTCTCTTTTGTGCTCTTTGAGGCGGGTACTCCGTTTGCGGCCAGTTTCTCCGATGTAACACTTGTCACAGTCCTGACAGTTCACTTTGTATACAATACCACTTTGAGATTCAGGAGGGGTTGGATCTTTTGGCTTCGAAATGAGGTCACGTAATTTTATATGGGGTTTGAAAGTTGTTCGTATACCTAGTGGCAGGAGGGACAGGCGAATAGATTCTGAGACGCCTTTTACATAAGGGATAGTCACCACGCCTGCTTTGTAATTATTAGTCGCTTTTGTTCTTCCCTGCTGCATCTGTTTATGTGTGTTTTCAATAAAACCTTGTGAATACCCGCGCTTCAAAAGGGATCCGATAACAGTCTGAACTTCCGATGCTCGTAAATCTGAATTTGAAGGGAAATGTTCTGATCGGCTAATTAGAGTTTTTACAACAGCTCGCTTATGTTCCACAGGGTGGTGAGAATTGAAACTCAAAAAATTACCGGTATCACAAGGTTTACGATACACGGTGGTTTCAATCTGACCGGTGTCACTTCGGCAAACAGTTACGTCCAGAAAAGGTAACGTGCTATTTTGTTAAACTTTTCGCGTGAACTGAATGGAAGGTTCAGTGCTGTTTAGGGTTGCATGGAAGTTATCGACGTGATCTTCATTTAAAATAACGAAAGTGTCATTTACGTAACGTCGGTAGAATTTGACAGGGCATGCTTTTACTTCTAACGCGGTTTGCTCTATGTGTTCCATTACCAGATTAGCCAAGGTCACAGATACCGGACTACCCATTGGGCAACCCTCAATCTGACGATAGAATTGTCCACGGAAGGTGAAATGCGACTGATTTAGACAAAAACGCAAAAGAATAATAATATCCTCAACTGTAAGAGATGTCCGTGACGAAAGTGTGGAATCATTACGCAGGCGTGTTTCGGCAACTTCCACTGCAAGAGTGGTCGGAACATCAGTGAACAAAGATGTGACATCAAATGAGACCATTACATCTCCCTTGTCCAGAACATGACCTCGAATTAGGTCAACAAATTCTCGAGAGTTTATAACTGTAAAGTTGTTATTCCCTGTTATGGGAGAAAGCAGCTCTACTAGATACTTAGATAGGTTGTACGTGGGGGAACCAACAAACGACACAATCGGTCGTAGAGGAAAATCGGGTTTGTGAATTTGGGGGAGGCCGTAAAGTTTTGGAGTACAACCATCCGAAGAAGAAAGGCGGCGGTAAATTGTGTCATTTAAGCGGTTCTTCTTTTTTAGATCACGTAGATGGTCAACCAGAGCCCTTTCAGATTTTTTAGTCGGATCCTGTGCTAACTTTACAAAATGCGCAGTGTCCTGGAGGATGGCATCCATTTTTTGAAAATAAGCCTCTTTGTCAATGACAACAGTGCCCTTTCCTTTATCTGCAGAAAGTACAAGGATTGATTGGTCGGATTTAAGGTCCCGTAGTGCCGCTTGTTCGTGCTATTTAGATTCGACGGGGTGGTTTTTGCGTTATTTAAAGTAGACATTATACGGCTGCGTGCTAGGTTAATCCCTGAGCTATCATGGAGATGACGCAGCTTCTCTTCTATTTCCACGATAATGCCTCATTTGGGGACAACACGCGGAGCCAAAGCGAAATCTAGTCCTTTTGACAGAAGGCTTACATGACCGTCCGAGAGATGTTTAGACAACAGATTATAGACGGAAGTCGAAGTTGGTCTGGTGGAAGGCTTGGGTATAAGTTGTGATAATTTCTTGTCGTGGATGTTCGTGAGCTTGATTTTCTCCAAGTCTTCAGCTTGCTTACGCGCGCCAAAAACGTGGTGCATGTCTTCGGGTTGAAGAATCCGCTGCAGGAATTTCTCAGCTGCAGCGAGACGGTGCCGACAGTCGTTGATCCTCTGCTTGTTGTCCAAGATCCGGGCCTTTAGGCAGTTTCGGCTGAATTCTTGCGCCAGTTTTCTGCCGTAGTGGGTGTCAACACGAGGCCGGCAACGAAGAGCTAGAGCCTAGAGGCATCACATTGTGATTCAGGCACTCACGATTGAAGTGTTGATGACATTCCAAGCGTATAATCTTGGTTGCTTGGTTGAGGTACTCTCTCAGGTGTCCCAGGGTAGCAATGCCGTACACAGTACGAACCAAATGAAGCACATTTTGTGTCTTTATCGTGTACGAGTAGTCGAGTAATGAGAAATAAATTATGAAACAAATAAGGTTTTCACTTCTCTTCAATTTCAGCGTGCTGTATAAAAAAAAATTTTTTTTTTTTTTTTTTTTTGTTGAGTCACATTTTGTTTACATTCTTCTTTTAGCCAGAATACATTGCGTTAGAGGTATATGCACTGGTTTTGAGTTTTAAGCCTCCAAATATGCTGAAAAAGAGCAAATGCCGATGGTGGGTTTATGGGTTAAATTGACGATTGTCGTGTGTGGCGTTTTTGCATCACTCTCAATCTCAAAGTATTCAAAACAGAGCTTCTATATCTTTTTATTGTGATATATATGCAAGTAGGTAAAACAACATTATAACTACTATTTATTATACGTCACTCCAATTTTTGTAAAAATCCCCAAACATGCCTCTGCGAACAACTGTGACCTAAACTGCGGATTTGTTCTTGAGTCGACTAGTATGTTTATACTTCGTTTCACCTTATGTTGTATCGCAGCGAAGGCCGGAAGCGCGAGCTCATAGCGTTGGCAGCTGCTCTTAATTCACAAGCTTGTGCCGCCGAGATACGCCCCAGAGCAAGGAGCTCGCGCTTGTAGCCTTTCTTGCGGTACATCATAAAGTCAAACAGAGTATAGTATCGCTTTTAAAATAATACCAGGTGTAGAACCTTTCATTGCCTTCCAAATTAAGCAAAGTTTGCGTTTTTATCATGTACGGGTACTGAGAAATAAATTATGAAACAGAGAGGTTTACACTTCTTGTTCAATTTCAACATGCTGTACAAAAAAACAAAATTTTTTTTTTTTTTGTCGCGTTCTTTTTATACTTTTCTTTTCGCCAGCATACTTACCGTTAGAGGTATATGCACTAGTTTTGAGTTTCAAGCCTCTAAATATGCTAAAAAGGAGCAAATGCCAATGGTGGGTTTATGGGTTCTACCAAAGGTGCATACTTTCCGGTGTTTATCCATGAGAAAAATCGGCAGATGTTTATCGGTGTTTATTTACTTCACCAATACCAGTGCTTTTCGGTGAATTCGCTCGTCCACACTAAAAACGGTTATTATCGGGGGAAAAATTGCGAATGTAAACTACCACTGGAAATTAAAAACAGTCCAAATTTTATTTAAATAGTTTACACAATCTCTTTCACACTCGATTATTGTAGTATATGCAAGCACACATTCCTAGGCTCGTGTCCGTCAATGACGCTCGCTCCTTCCTGTTGACAACGCACAATTTCGAGAATGCCCGCTCGACATTTGCGCTAGACACGGGAAGCCCCAAAATGTCCAACGATGCTTGGGACAGTACTGGCCAGCTTTGACAGGCCTCCAGTGGCGTAACTAGGTATGACGGCGCTCATGGCAAAAGAAATTTCACGCCCCTCATGATGATAGCGATAATGACATCATCATTATCATCATTATATTATTATTATGGGTGGACTCGGCTAGGCGCCCCCTCCCAAGTGGCGCCCGGGGCACTTGCACCCCCCTGCCACCCCCCCTAGTTACGCCACTGCTGGCCTCTCAGGCCGCTGATGGTGATCTTCAAGCTCGGCGGCCCAGGGGGACGGCTGACCTCGGAGAACAGTGAAACAAAGTTACTGTCCTCCAAGAGTCCAAGAACATGTAGGTCACAAAAGAAAGACAGGCAAAGTGCATGATTCCTGGTAAGATAATGTGTTTGACGGAAGTTTGTGCACAACTTTTTCATTGAAAAGAACACAACATTGTTAGAAAAAAAAATAATTTAGAAACCATTTTTTTTTTTAAGATTTTTATTTTTGTCATAGGCGAATGTTTATTGATGTTTTTCGGTTAAAACTGTAAATTGTACAGGACTTTTTCGATGAAAAAAACCAGCGCTTGCTCAAAAATATGAAAGAACTGGTGTTTTTCGGTTTTAACCGATTTTGTATTTTCAACCTCGGCGGATGTTTATCAGTGTTTTTCGGTTAAAACCAGAAAGTATACTTATGAGCTATAGCTGTATATTTTATTCTTTATTATAAGAGATGTCGTTAGGCGTATATTAACAAGTTTGCAATTCCAAACGTCTAAACACTCTATAAAATCGCAACTGCCGAAAGCGAGTTTTCAGACAATTTCCGCCGTTGCTATGATTGGAGAGGCCTCAAGCCTCTCCAATCATGGCACCCTATGTGCTACATATTCTATACTATGCTAGAAATGTCAAAGTATAATATTGTAAAAGATTAGAGTAAAATACACTTCCTATTAAAAGCCTAGGTTTTTAAATACAAAATTTTATATTTTTAATGCGAAATTCATATTGATAACACAACAGAATATAATTTTTATTTATTTTTGCCACTCTTTATTTTTAAGTTTTATTTTACTCTGCAAACAACTGGTGCATTAAAAAAAAAAATTAAAAATGATTTTTTTTATATACAGCTGCTGAAACTGAACAAAAAGTGAAAACCTTCCGTTTCATTATTTATTTCTCAGTACTTGTACATGATAAAGACACAAACTCTGCTTAATTTGGAAGGCAATGAAAGGTTTTACACGTGGTATTATTTTAAAAGCAATACTAAACATAGTAGACTCGAAAAAAAATTCACAGTTTAGGTCACAGTTGTTTGCGGAAGCATGTTCGGGGATTTTTACAAAGATTGGAGCGACGAACAAAAAGTAGAAGTTATAATGTTGTTTTCCCTACTTGCATATATATCACACTAAAAACATATAGACGCTCTCTTTTGAATACTTTGAGATTGAAAGTGATTCAAAAACGCCACAGACGACAATCAACAAAACCTCGTCGTTCTCTTCCGCTTCTTTGAGAGTTTTTTTTTTCTCAGAAACTAAAGATGTCAGGACATTAAAATAAAAAGGATTGTTCTTCTTGGAACATGCGCTAACTAACATAAAAGTTTGAAGGGAAATAAACAATATGACTGCACCTCGTTGCCTGAATCCAAATGAAACCGCCCATATATATATACATATAATATTAAAATTTCCCAATTTTGGGAATTCTTCAAGTTAAGCGCCCATTTCCAGATCAACCCAGTATTCTGTGAAAGTGGGATGGGCGCTCCCCTAGTATTTTACGGTATATATATATAAAATTAGGTGGACTGCCTGCCAAAGGTATTTCTTAAGAAACTCAGAAACAGCTTTTGAGACCAGTGAGGCTTCTGACAAAATCATGAGGTAGAGGACACACCAGCTACAGAAGGTTTCAATGCCTTTTTTTCGTTATTTTTACCGAGATTATTTGAGCCTATAAAAACAAGTGATTACTAATTTCACCATCCACCCAAATATGGTTGCGAGAACGCCAGTGACGTTGGTCAATCTGCCCTACGATTTGGGTTGCACTATCAACGTCGTCTGTGGCACAGACATGTGGGTCGGCACTATCACTGCCGGCTTCGCTTGCAGAGCTGGCGGAGGGGAAAGGGATCGACATTACCGTCTCGCCTCTTTTCTAGTAACCGCCGTGGCCGCCAACTTTGGCCCCAGGGCTAAAAGAAGCCTGATGCAAGCTCCCTTTTTTTAGAAAGGTTTTGGAGTGACCAAATAAAAAGATATCTTGCAGATGGAATAAAAGCCAAGAGGATACCAAAATGACCTTGCTCGAAAAGAGGCCACCGCTTACTTTAGCTTCAGGCATTCCAACCTTTGAAACGGCCTCAAAAGTCGAAACAGCCAACACCAACGCCTGAAAGTCAGCAAGGCCTGCAATGAAATGAAAATATTGACTGAGAACTTGACAAGCCAGTTTGTCGCAATAATCTTTTCTTTGTCAAAGAAAAAATACCTAAAAGGAAAGATTGATTTATTACCCCCCTGCCCCCCTCCTCCCTCCCACTCCGCATTTCTGTGGGTGACCAAAAGAAAACACATTGGCTAAAAATGGGGAATGGCCAAGGAAAGGCATGTGGCTAACAGCAAACTTCAAAGACTGTCCTCTTCCGAGTCTAGTGCACGACATGGAGCAAGAAGAAAAAAGGGCATCCCTCCCAGGTAGACACCACATGCGTACCGTAATGTCCCGAGAGATGCCCCACCCCCCAAAGATAACCCACCCCCTATTTTTGGCTTGATTTGCTACTTTTTTTAAACACCAAAACAGGGATGGGCAAAATACATGCAAATATGTATTGAAATACAAATACAAAATACTTTGTCAAAAATGTATTTAATTACAAATCTAATTACATTTCCAAAAAAACATTTAAGTACAAGATACAAATACAACCAAATGTATTTGGTCTCCTCCAAATACTTTTCCAAATACATTCCTCAAAATTTGCGCCAGCGACTTCAGGGCACCTGCAACGGATTTCTTGGTATCTCATTTTAATTTTGCATCGCACACTCGGGAGTTAGTGTGCGAGGCTCTAGTAACGTAATAGAAATATAATCACAAAAAAAATGTAATCAGCTTGGGCATAATAGGTGAAAAAAGTACAGAGCTTCAAGCAGCTTTTTTTGTCGAACACATTTTGGTATAGACCAACAAAGAACCGAGACAACCAAGACGCGCAGCACTAGCTAGAGAATTTTTTATTGTTATAACTCGCACCAGTTGCGAAAACCTGGACAACCCGCGCATTTAGAATGTTCCAGACAAAAATATGGATGGAAATCAGGCTGGAAAGCATCACAAGTTGTCGCAGGCACTACTTATTTAGCCAGTCTGCCTGTGAACGTCGATTTCGTCACTATTCTTGCCCTGGACTAGCGCCGTAATCACAAAGTCACTAAACGCTTGCGCTTGATTGAGAGCCACTGCATTCGGTGCAGAACGTAGTTCGCTTCCTGCTCTGGACAGTGACAATAAATTTGAGGGGTGTATTTTCGCCCACAAAATTGTATTTAATTACAATTGTATTTAAAATACCCATGTTTTAGTATTTAAATACACACGTCAAATACATTACCCAATTTGTAATTAAATACAAATGCCAAATACAGAAAGTATTTGAAATACGTATTTCAAATACTTGTATTTGAAATACTGCCCATCCCTGCACCAAAAGATAGCCCACTCCTAGAAATCATAGTGTTCCGATCAATCAAGAGCTCGGCGTAAATGCAACTAGTTAGCTATGGCGGGATACAAGTGAACATTTCTGGCTGGGAAGTACAGTCATCTTTGCTTTATTGCCCCTCACCATGATAACAAGTTTTGCAGGGACACATAATATAAAAATAGCATTTTTTCAATCTTTTCTCGATTGCAGGCCGAAAGTTAGCCCACTCCTTTATTTCATCCAATTTGCTCTCGATTTTAGGTGGGCTATCTCTCAGGGTATGATCTATCTGTCACATGTCGAGGAGCTAAAATGATCATCCATGGTGCCTGATCATATCTAACACCTTGTCACAGGTGTTCATCACTGGTTTAATAAGAATAAAAATGTGAGCTCAAAATGCAAAGTGGTCTATCATTCTTGGAATGAGCTGTCTTCAGAGCACATTCAGCAGTAGTAAAAGGAAAAGGAAACGCAGAAGCAACTATACGTACCAATGTCTTCACTGGCAAATATGACTAGGCGCCGAGCGATGAACCGCGGATCCTCTCCGCCCGTCAGCATGCACGCCAGGTAGTAAAGGGCTGCATTTTGGTCACTCCCTCGCATTGACTTGATGAATGCCGAAATTGTATTGTAGTGCTGGTCCCCTAGCAAGAATGGAACATCTCATAAGGAGGTTTCATAGGATGGCACACTGCATGTCAGCAGCATTGACTTGAACAAGGCTCACATGCATTTGGTTAAATAGCCACTTCTGTCTCGTATTGGTGGCTCTACTACACTCTTTATCTAACCAATTTTATTTATTTTTTTTTTTTTTTAAGTAGCACGACGCATGAATGCTTTGGAGCAGATATGAAAGCGGATGACTACAGGTTTAGTAGCACAGGGGCAACTAATGCCATAGTGTGCCAAACACAAGTTTTTCAAGAAGCCCTAATGGTATCTGAAAAGTCGATAAAAGTTATAGCTGGTGTAAATAGCAAACTTTTTTTTAAAAGTTACAAGAAATATGCTGGAATGATACCAGAGGTTGGTCACCAAGTAAAAAGTATGGATGGAATAGAAGGTGATCTCTAAAAAGTTCTGGGAAAGAGGATCAGCACTGAGCATCTAGACATCTGCAGTGCCATAAAATATTCAGGAGAGCCAGCACTTTTCAGCAGTTCTCACAGTTTCATGTCTTCACCACAGAGCAAGCACATATGGTAGAAGCTCTTCAATGAAACCCCAAGGAATGGGAAAAAATTGCTTTGCTTTTCTGACGAGACAAGACAGCCATTTTGAAACAACTTCCACTTGTGCAAAAGACCTCTTCGAGAGAATCTGCCATGAAATCTCCTCTTAAAACCAATTGTTTTGTAGCCATCGTTCCAGAAAAAGTTCCACAACAGACAGTGTGGTTTATAGGCAGTCAAAGAGAGCTAGCCAAGCAAGGAGATCAGGGTTTAAATCCGCCCCTTCCCCAAGCTGAAAATCAGGCTTCAGCTCACTGAATGTTAGGAGCAAAGTGTCGAACCAAAATTTTAATCGGTTCAGGTTCGGGTTCACGTGTTTCGGTTCAGTTCCAGGGAGCAAAAACAATGATTCAAACCAGTTCAAACCGGTTCGAACCGCTAAATTGAGAATATATTTCCCGCATTCTTTTGTAATAGGCACTATTTCCGCCGCGAAACGAGTAACTATATAGATTCTTTTAATGTTCATCCACTTTTATTTTCAGGTACCAAAAATAAGAAATTGCGTCATTTAATTTCGATGCAACAGTAAAACAAAATCTAGATTAACATACAAAACGTCGTATTTATACAACTCAACATCCATTTGTTTACCTCAGTCCTATATAGTATTTTACCTCAGTTAAAAGGTTGTCACGAAGTGGGATAGGTCACCTAAAATACCTGTGATTGGTACAACTTTGAGTCACAGTATTAAAAAGTGGAATCACAGTTGTGCTCCTGAACTAAGGAATTAATTGCAGCGCATAAAATGATGAAATGGGCACTTCGTCGCCATACATGTCGTGAAATATAGTTTACGAAATATGTTTTACAATATATATATATATATAGACTCAGCTGAGCTAAAAGCAATACTATTTTCAAGATGTCCCAGAAGTTTCAGGACAAGCTCTTTCAGTCTACCTTTCATAGAAGCACTGAGTGGCAATCACAATGCTTGTTTTCCTAACCAACATTGTTTACACTAAGCATTGTGATGCAGGTGAAGAGTCGTGCAGAAAGGAGTGATCAAAATATTTCAGTCTAATCTTTATGCACCTTTTTACTCAGATCAAATCTGGCCTAAACTAGCGCATACCCAAGTAAACATTTTCTTATACGGGATAAACTGGCATAGCCCGACTGCTCAGGTTTGTTCTTGACAAGATGCTGGTCAATTCAATTTGCAAACAAGCAGCACCCTTGCTAATTGATGATTTTTTGTTAAACAGAACAAAGTAGTATTTCGACATGGCAGCTACTTAATTGGTCACTTTCCGACGGTCTGCATGCGTAATCGTCATAGTTCCACCATGCGTCACTGCATACTTTTTTTTTGTCCAACCCAAAGACGCATAAAATTGCTGTTCATAACATAAAGGAGGCAATAATAGACTTACATGTGTGTCAAGAACACATACCGTAATTATATAAATCGGCTTCAAAATCAGAAGTCTGTTTATGGTACTCCCAAATCACTTACACACGTGCCTATCGATGATAAAAAAACACCGCAAAAAAATTGCAGAGCCTCTTTCAGATAATTTGGGGAGCATTTCCTTTTGATGTATAGTATCTTTAAAGTGATCGGCCTTTTGTTTATGTTGTCAAAATTTCCAAATAAAAAAGAAGCATCGCTTTGCACCTTTATTTATGTTGTCAAACCTTCAATCAATAATTAAATATATTCTATTATCATCAATAAATTTGACTGTATGAAGTTCACATAACCGCTTGAGACTGACGTGGGAGGACGATACTCGAAACTATGTCAGCTGTTCAGCCGATCTGCAAAAACATGCTTTTTGTTCACTGTTTGCAGTGTGAAACATCATTTTGCGAAGTATGTATGCCAAAAAGGATTTTGTGCTCACATGATAGATCTCAAGGCAAATACACAAAACGTGCAGATAGAGAGAGATAATAAATGGGTACTCTTTAAAAAACACGATTCTGATGCCTTAGTGCAAAAAAATACATTTGTAATCATATTTCTAATTTCACATAAATAGTGTGAAGGAGAGACGAAGATTTTATAAATCGAAAGTCAATCATGTCTGAACATCAACTTGCACAGATTCAAAACTTCACGAAATTCCGCCTGGGGAGGCTAATGTTATGTTTGGTTTTACGTGCACTTGTTTTAGGCCCTCACTTTACAACTCTATGCATCATAAGTCATGCACTCCAACATTTTATTAGGCTACCGTATACCATTTCACCAGAAAACTGAACTGTTTAATATAATTTGCATGTGATGTCATTGCACTATATGCTGGTAGTCACTGCGATTGATTCTTGCCTAGAAAATAAAATCCAGTGGTGCAAAATGCACGCTGCAGAAGGTTTGCACTCAGTGCAAGCCATGTATTTCAGAGACACAAATTATTAATGTGAAAGCATTAATTAACTGTCCTATGGATCAGCTTTGAAACAGCGCCAAATGGCACCTTAAATCCTTCCTCCAAGTGAAGCCAGCTCCCAGCTATGAAACCACGCGAAAAGCCTAGCCAAACGGCACCTAGTTTCCCCGATCCCAAAGGAGAGGAGTAAAGCTGATGGATTTCGGCTTCGGTCCCAATGGCTGGTGCGCGTCGACGAGGCTCCAATTGGACGCTGCGTGTCAGTTTCTACGACCGCCACCCCATGGCGCTGCGTGTCCGTCGCGCGCAGGTAACAACAAACATACAAGGTCAGAGCCGCGAGGAGAGGGTGGACTCTGCCGTCGACGCAAATACGCTGCAGACAAAATAAGGGAGTGGAAGAATGACGTGCATGCTTTCGCATTCACAACTCATCAGAAGTGCTTAGGTGTACCTCGAGCCTTTTCTTGCTTGGTGCAGCGTCGGGACGAACGGGGATCGAGCGTCTGGCGCAACGAAAACGCAGCTTTCTGGCAAGTGTTTTTGCAAACAAATTAGTTTCTGGGGTCATGCTTTCTAGTCTGTGCCAAAGATGTAGGGCAGAGGAACTTTTACAACACGATATGTTTTTAAAAGTACCCCCCACCCCCCCCCCCCCTTTTTTTTTGTTGCTCCTTCAGACAATACTTTTTATTCCTGAGGAACTCCTCCTTCATTTGGCGATGTTAATTCGACAATTCTGTTTGTGTCACTTGTTAAGAGTAATCTTCTATTGCTTTTATTTTACACCAAAAGACTGAAGTTTAAACAAAATACAGAGGTGGTCGAAGCTTAGGGAAGAACTGGAGAATGACACTCCTGTGAGAATTAGAGCGGCTGCCAACGTTTGGCTGTCCACTATAGATCTCCCTTTTCAGGCATCCCTCCCGTACACACTGGTAGTTCTATGTAACATTGAATTAATAAGTCCCATTTAGTCTTTTGAATGCTTCTATCCTCGGGGACAACTTTCTGAGGCAGTACAGCAACAACAAAAAAACATTTGGGTGCCTCAATGATGTGTACACGTAAAATGGGTTTTGCAACAAATTTTGTACTTTAAGTTTCAGTAAATACTGGTAAGAACTAATTCCTGACGGTAACTTGCAAAACTGTCTATTAGTTTCCCTCCCCACGCAATGGTAAATGCAGAAAAAATAAAGGAAAGAAACAGCTTTCCCCTGCACAACTTGCAATTAGAACAAGCGGCCACGTGATCCGACGCTAATTATATACCGTCAGTGTTCATCATAATCATGCAATGGGGTTGGCAAAGCATAAAGCATGGGGTGAGCTTCAGACATTGTTAGAGTTAGGCTATTCTTATCTTTGATTGAACATGAGCCATTAGCCAAATGTTTGGCGATGCTGATTGTCATCAACCCAAACACTCGACTCGGGTCATGACAATCGAGTATGTCACGGTTTTATGTGACTCGCGATGCGAAGTCATTATGTCATGTGACGTCAGGGTGTCAACAACACTAGTGAATCCAGCGACGTTCTCAATTTAAATCGACTTGATGCAGTAAGTCACGTTACTATGTCACGTGACATACTGCGCATTAGTGCATGTCACATCACGTCACGTGGCATCACGAGTCACGTGACATCATGGGGCCATGTGACATGACATTACTTGACAGCATGTCTTGACACCATGACATCACATGACCATGTGACAAATGATTAATCATAGTGCCAATACAAAAGCGCCAATAAAAACCACAATTTCACACACATAGCAATTCTGCATACGAGATATGATCAACACATAGATGTTTAGAGCTCTCCCAAGTTTAGCATGAAACATTCTTTGGCTAGTTGCGCCGGATTTTGTGAGGCCGTGTTCCGTGAAGCCGTGGCTTGTAACGTCACACGACTTCGGTTGCCTCGCTAGATTTAGCGGAAAAATTGACGTCACGTGACCTCAACACCAGTTCAGTTTCCCTGCTAAATTTAGCATGAAAAATGATGTCACATGACTCCATGTCACGTGACCTATACATAAATTCAGTTTCCCAGCTAAATTTAGAGGAAAAAATGAAGTCACGTGACATGATCCTATACTCAAATTCAGTTTCCCCGTTAGATTTAGCGGGAAAATTGATGTCACATGACCTAAACAAATTCAGTTCACCCGCTAAAATTTAGCGGGAAAATTGACACGTGACCAACCGCAACTTGTCATTCCCCATACGCTGTAAACATACGCCAATCCGATGGAGAAAGTCAATGGGGTGAAGAGTGGGTGGAGTCAGCAAGGTGGGGAGGAGTGGAGACACCTGGAGGCACAGCTCGAGAAGAAATGCCTGGAAGTTACTAGCGCTAAACCAAGAATGTTTATGATATTAACAAAAAACGAGAAAAAAAAAAAGACCTTGAACCATTTTGAACTGGTTACCGGCATATTTCTTTTCCAGTTCAGTTCGAAAATGGTGGCAAAAATTTCAGTTCGGTTCAGTTCCGGTTCAGCTAAAAATAATGGTTCCGCTCTGCTTTTCGGCTCAGTTCGGTTCCAGTTCGACATTCTGGCTACCAGCCGAATCGCGCCACGATTCTCAGAACTATAAAATCTAAAAGAAAATGAGAAACAAAATCGTTTTTAGCCTACACTAACCACCCAACATGACACACTTTGCCGTCGACAGACTGCGTGCCAATAGCAGCGCAAAACCTTCTCCCACACAGAAGGACATGCTACTTTAGGCATCGCACCAGGGACTTCCCACAATCTACAAGGAAAGAGGAAGATTGTAACCATGGGAGTCGGAGGGCAAAAAAGAATGCCCACCCGCCCGGTCGTACAGGAAGTGCGTCTTGTGCAGGCCCTCCTTAACGTGGGCCTTGGTGAGGCAGCCGTCCTGGCCAGAACTGCGGTGTGCCTCCACTGCCGTCTGCAGGGCATTGAGCGCCGTGCGGGCATCTCCATCGCACATCCCAGTCAAGTAGTCAAGAGCCTCCTCCTCCATCAGAACTGGCCTGCTAAAAAGGTGCACCGGAAAGCAGCTCATTTAATCGCATATCCTCAAATGCTTCTAGCAAATGTTTTACAACAGCAAGGTGTACTTTCACTCTAAATGCCAAGCGAGAAGGCACAGTCCCTCGAACACCAAAGTCGCTTGAACACCAAAGTCATTCATTAATTCTCGTGACCAATGTGGTGCACAACTTTCTAGAGCTTTCTTTGAGTGCTCGCATCGCTGGATGCGGTTAGCGAAATGCTCCGAAAACCATATTATCCCGACAATTCCTAAACTGCACATGTGTGCTCTGTACGTGAAAAGGGATCTGGGGCGGAGGGGGAGGGGCATGGTAGTTCGCTGGGAGAAAGGAAAATTGCCAGGAAACTTGCTGGAACCTCAGAAATATGGCATAGATGGCACTTGAATATAATTTAAGGGCAATAAATGGGCAGCAGAGACAACAGAAAAATCGGAAAACGGCCAAATTAAGACAGGTGTGACGCAAGGGGGGCGCTCATGTTGGAGCAACCGTCAGAGCTAAAAAAAATCCGTGGAGGGGTTTTTAATAGGCTGCAGCACCCAAAAATTAGTAAACCTTTGCTTTACCCTCTTACCAAAGAATGATGTAGTGCAATTATGCAGCCACCCAATACAAAGAAACAATGAAGTGAAGGTTTTTTCTATTACATGTGCTTTGGAAAACTTCGAACATATATGCAGTCCAGTCATGTCATGTCAGAGTGAAACTTTTACTAAAATAATCGCCCCTTTCCTGCACTATCTTAGCAAAAACGTATTGCATATTACTTTGTGGTAATACTGAACCGATGAACTTGGTGCACATTTTGTGCCTCAATGACACAAATACAGCTGTGTGTAGCATCTCTGAAAAAAAAAAAAAAAAAACCAAAGCTAGTGCTTTAGCGGAATGCAAAGTTCACGTCTCTTGAGGTCACACACCCCAGCTTTGAACGCTTCTATTCACGTTTCCCCGCTTCCTTTGGAGCGCATGCTTGTTCTCTTCCCCCTGCCTCCTGCATACTTTCCCATCGCATGTGCAAGGGATTGCGGTTTGAAACTGAACACTTTCACACTTTCCCTGGTAGTTTTTTACCCTAGTAAATTTTTGTTTGATACTCCCGTGTGACAGGAATGTGTGTTAAAGCACACTGCTAGGAGTCAGCCTGATAACACAATCTGCGCTAAAAAATGTGCAGTACGATGAATAAATTATATAGACAAAACAGCCCCAACAACACCACAATCTATTGCGATGGCCTCGCACTCTAGTAACACTTTGGAGAGACCAATGGGTGGCCTGCAAAAGCTCCATGGTGAAGAAATCAGAGAAGCTTTTCAAACTAACCCGGGGCCAGATTGCAACTGCGAGGAACCTGCTGGCACCAGCTCCACATCCAGGAGTTGCAGTGCCCTGTGGAGTATCAGGGCCACATCCTGAACCCGCAGCTTCTCTAGCACAAAAACCCTGCACCGCGACAGCAGGGCCGAGTTCAGTGAGACCGATGGGTTCTCCGTGGTGGCGCCAATCAACACGATGCATCCACTTTCAACAGCCGGCAGGAACACATCCTGGAGCAAAGTGCATCGAGTCAATAATCAACTCATTGCCTCATCGTTGCACAAATGACCAACTGCTGGAATACTTGAAAAGGAACCTTCTGAACAGCCTTAGAAATGCACTTGCCTTTTTTCCAAGACTGAATAAATATGGAAACAGCGGGCAAAAGACTGAAACCAGAAGGAAGTAGACGAAACAATACGCATAGCTTCCTTAAAAGAAATCTCTTGCATTCTGTAGAGGTACAGAGTACACAAGAACGTAACCTGGGCGGCGGCAGTGGGGAGGCGAGGGACCGTGTCCCCACAGCACAACCAAGTGGGTATTTCACAACGGCGGCGGCCAGAGGGGTGGGTGGTGGGGGGGAGGAAGAGAGAGCGTCACGGGAGCAAAAACAGCGGCGGCCTACAAGGGGGAAGAAAGTGGGGAGCGATCCTCGTCGTGTGCGAGGAACGACGGATTACGCTCTCTCGTATGCGCAAGGGAGCGTAATCACGTGGAAAAAGTGTGGCGGTCCCAACGAGCACGTAGCTTCCATAGCACTGTCAGCTTGGGGGTGAAAGGGGTAGAGGAAGCAATTTTTGTCAGAGTTTTGAGCGACGGGTTAATCTTCTAGGCGGAGAACAAGCCACACGAACACGACGTGCACGACTGATCTCACACGTGAAACGTTCGTCACCCCACGGGTACTTCGAACAGCTCGGTTGTAACCCGTTGATGCCACCACAATGTTACGCTCACAAGCGTAGCATTGTGGTGGCGTCATGTAATGCAAAGCTCATAACCACGCCAGCCTTGCTACTTCACAAATGCGTGTTTTTTGTTTGCAGCGGATATCCCATGATGCATCACACTCCCCGTTCGCGTCTTTTCGAGCGCTTGCTTGAGTGCACCGTTTAGAACAAAAAATATAGCCAGTCGTTCAAAATACAAAAGTGTGATTATCATTTACGGTTATTACCTGTCATGCTTGACTCATTTCCGAACGAAATTTGTATATTTCAATTTTCGTTTCCATACCCTTTTAAAGGGATACTACAGTGAAATTTCAGCGCTTATTTCTTGGTCTATTTGTGTTCAAGGGAGCAGTATCACATTAGACACACCAATCTTTTGTTGAAAAAGACACGAAAAAGAATTTTACAACAAATTAAAAGATTAGCAAAAAGCACCTGGTGAATGTCGCTAACGCCTCGTTTGTAATGCTTGTCTAGGAAGCTTGACAGGTAGTGACGATAACTGCCTCCCCTCCGGCCACCGCGAGAAAATAGGGGAATGAAGAACTCCCCTCTCCCCAAGATTCTCTTTTGAGTGTCCCAGACGTTTCTATTGTCCCTCTACAAGATTATAAAATATTAACTCGTCACTCAAAATTCATACAAAAGCAGGTTTGGGGTTAGTTGCGGTGGCCCAATCGCTGGCATGCTTCGGCCACTTCAGTGACTGGAACGGCTAGGACATCCTCTCAATGTCAGCCTCGATGCAGCTTAGCTCGTCTTGAGACAATCTATGTCACGATTGGGCAGGATGTCACGTGCTCTCCGCTGGCTGCTCTCCGAGCACTTGCCAGAGTAGGCCGTTTATAGCGAAAAATACAGCCATGAGGCTCAAAATACAAATGTGCGATTGTCATTTATGAATATTGTAGATCATAGTCAGCCTATTTCTGAACACAACAGGTATATTTCAAATTTTGTTGAAGTATCCCTTTAAAGGCCGTCTCCAAGGTTAGCAAAGAGATCTAGAAGAATCTCCAAGGGTTATTGAAAGCTTGTGTTTATGAGTTTGGACAAAGAAATTAGGGAGTTTGGGGAAAGCCAGGAGGACAGCGACCTGTGATTTGATAGGGGTTGGAGTTCGTGGTTTCTATTGCTTGTATGGTTAGTTTCTTTGCATAATTTGTGCTGACCTGCTTGCAAAAGGTTTAAGGCGAATGAAGAGGGAGAAAATTTGGCACCGAATCTTGAGATTCGGCAAAGCCGAATTTTCGCCAAACTTCTCTAAAAATTCGGCAAAGATTCGTCAAGAATACATTGTTACCAGACCTAAAAGTTATATCGTTTTTTTGTGCGAAAAAACTTCTAAGTTTTTTTTAATGCATATTGACGCAGTTATTACTAAATAAGGTGATATTCTACTAGTTAACTGTATCGGTGTAATTTTTGTGTGTTTACTGGTAATTTTAAAGTGACTTTTTGCAGAAATGGTGCGACAACTGGGTTGGAATAGTAGTAAGCGCAGTCACGACACGCGAGTTTCGTTCTTGAGGACTCATCACTGCAAGCCTACCAGTGTGTATTGTTCAAATAAAGGCGGTAACTCTGTGTTCTTACTTTCTCTGCGAGTCACTGTTCCGTGCACGAATATGAATGCAACGGCTGCTGAGCCTTCCCCAGAAGAGATAACAATATTATTGTAAATATGCATGTTTTTCGATTTTAGTCACTTCAGCTTTGTATGAAAGTGTGCGTCCCATACTTGCAACGTCTCAGTTTTAACTTTTAAAATGCCAGTTTCTGATGTTAGGACACACCGGACATTTAGGAAGGTGGAAGAGTTAAAAATATCGGATGTGCAACATTGAGCATGATAGTTCCGTGTTTAGTTTTAACCAATCAAAGCTGTTGCAGATTTATTGTGTTCCCCTTTACAGCATATCTGCAATAACGCTTCGGCTACAGGAACTTTTCCAGATGGCATGAAGATTGCCAGAGTAGCTATTCTGCAAAAAGGAGCCATTCTTGATAACATTAACAATTACAGGCCCATATCGGTCCTTACACTGTTTTCAAAGGTACTTGAACATGTGACAAAAACTCGGATGAGTAAATTTTTTGATGGACAATTTGTATTTGTAAAAGAATACGGATTTCAGAGGGACAAATCTACAGAAATGGTGCTAGTAAATATTAATGAGCAGTTAAATAATAAACTTGATGATAATCTTAAATTTCCAAACAGTGTGATTAAACGAGTATCCGCTTATGAATTTTCAGGTGTTCTTTTTGAAGAAAACTTACCATGGACCCCCCACATAAATAAGATTCATAAGAACATCTCTCCATCCATTGGCATCTTATAGAGAGTTAGATCTTTGATTCCAAGTTGGTTAAAACTGCAATTGTATTACTACTCTTTAGTGCATTCTCATCTTCATTACTGCTTATTAATCTGGAGATCGACAACTAGACAAACCGCGAAAGGCTTTTTATCATACTAAAAAAGACAATATGCTGCATAGAAAATCTAAATTTCATGGACCATACTGCCCCATGCTTTTTAAAGCACAATTTGCTTAACATTAGCCAAAGATTTCATCTAAAACTTTCAATTTACATACGGAACGACATAATCAATGATTAAACAACTTTTTTTTTAGACATTCTTTTGGAATAATATGCAATATAATTTAAGGCATGAATCCTATAGGATACCTCGGTTAAGAACAACCTATGAAAACTTGATACCTCAATTTCTAAACAGACATCTAGATGTTATGGGAATAATACTAAATAGTGCTTCATATTGCAGCTTCAAATACGATGTAAAAAGGCTCCTTCTTACATGTCGTTCGGAATAAATTTTAGTTGGTTGGTTGTTTAGGATTTTTTGGCGCAAAAGCAAGTAAGGCTATAGAGTGCCAAGAACTAGTCTATTTATTACTCGGGGTTAGAAAGAAAGGGGCTTTAGTAGCCGGTGATTGAATAAAACATGTGTATGAATTACAAAACGTCAAACGATGCCTATGAGATGCTGATTAAAACACTTATAGCCGGTGTAGAATGCCGATGGGGTCCAAAAATTTAAACACACTTTGATATGCCACAAGGGGCTCATCACTTAAAATCAGTGCTGGGTGAAGTGGCACATGTTCTTTATAAAGTGGTGAAAAATGAATAAGACGCTCTCTGTCATACACAGGACACTCACTGAGAATATGTAAAATGCTTAGAACTTTGTCACAATGTTTACACAAGGGGGCTTCACCCCCGCGCAGGAGGTTGCCATGGGTCAGGTGCGTGTGACCGATACAGTCGGCACAGGACAACCTTGAAGAAACATTCTCCGTGTCGTGCGCTCTTCCATTCATTTAGTAGTGGTTTTACACCATGCAGCTTGTTATATACTGCTGCATTCCATTCATCTTGCCAGCATCGTCTCACGAATTTCTTTACTGATGAGCGGTAGTCTGTATGAGGAATCTTTGAAAAGGAATAAATTTTAAACGTCAATTTGTCCCCACGTGCACTGTGTATAGTATTGTGAACAGGCCTATTTTAACTACTGTATAAAATATGACGCATAATTTTCATCCTTGTGGAGGTAATGGTACCTATGATATTGCACTGCTGTTTCTTGTCGATGCTTTGTTTTTTTGACGATGTTTTGCACTTGTTTTTTCCCATTGACTACTGATGCAGTGTAGTGAGAGGACTGGGCCTCGTCAGGCAGAGCATATCTGCCTTTTGTCCTTTCTCCTTGTGACCCTGTGTCCAAAATAAAGAAACAAACAAAAACAAATACAGATACCGTAGATGAAAACCGCAAAATAACACTAATTAAAAAGCAATATTATTTTGTTTTGCGACAAACTACTTGTGAGCCGAAAACAGGGTTGTTATAATGGCAAGGAGTGCTTTAAATTACTTGGTCAACGTTGCAATACCTCGTTGCATTACTGGAAAGATCAAATGAAAATCACTTTATGCCCGAATGTACCGCATAATTTTGTCACTTGCGCAGTCGACTGCGTCGTTTTTGCCTCAACCTCCGGTCGACCTTTTGTTCTTGAGGCCGAAAATATTGAAGAGAACCACACTCGCAAAGGCTGATAAACACACAGTTGCCGTGTCGCCTACTCCGCACCTCGCTGTAACCGCGACTAGTACTGCACTGTACGATGATAACCACACGATTGAACGACGTCAATTTGCAATCCATGGCCCCATCGCGTTCTTGCGCGTGCGCAGACTGTTGTGTTCTGCTTTTATGTTGGCAACACTGTACATAC